CTCAATCGCGTGGAATTACAATTAGTATGACAATGTTTGTAGTAGTGACCCGCACCGATGAGATTCATGACGCAAGGTTGTTTTTTTGTTGTTTTTTGTTTTTTTGTTGTTTTTTTTTGTTTTTTTTGTTGTTTTTTGTTTTTTTGTTGTTTTTTTTTGTTTTTTTTGTTGTTTTTTGTTTTTTTGTTGTTTTTTTTTCTTTTTTTTGTTAAATGGACGTGCCATTGGCAAATCCTCGACTGGGCATTCGAATTTATGAAAAAGAGGGACTTAAACATGAAAAGAGACGAAGAAAAAATCTCCTTTTTAATTGCTCATTAAAGATTCCAATTTAAAATAAATACCACTAGAATATTTATTCGTGATTAAATTAGTAGTTTGGTGGAAAATAGTTATGACATTCTTGATAAATGAAAGTCAAAATGATGCATAAGCGGACTTATAATTTCAACGGACTCTCGTGATATTTAAAACACATTGATCCTTTAGTAGTAATTATAAAACGTGCCTACCATAATTACGTCTGTCATTATTTTCATTACGCCGAATGCTCAAAGCCGACAGAATGCAAATTAGCCGTAAAGCATATTTGCATATTTTTCATAATTAGGATTATTATGTTACGTCGAAACTCGTGGCACGAAAGATCATTGATTACGTTCGCGGGCGCGCGCGCGCGCGCTTTCATCCCGGATGCTCGTGAATAAGGTGAGAATAATGTCACAACAACTGGCGAGCTTAAATCGTAATAAATATCGTCGCAAGCGCGAGTCTACGTCAGGATAAAAAGGACGCGGTAGTCAGTTGAGATTTTGAAATATGTTGTCCTCATAGGGGGAAATAATCGGCAAGTTGCGACGGCATTGTTTCTCGTTCCGAGGCGCCAATTGATTTCTTTACTGTGCCGACGACGCTCGTTTGCATTGTGCCACGGTCCTCGATACACAAAGGGTTGTAGTTGTTGGTATCCTTTGAAGTTTGCCTCTTCTCGCATGGAATATAACGAGATTGTCCATGATTTCGCATGGATCCGAGCGCCTAACGAGCTACGAACTTTATGACAGGTGAGCGTTGATTTCACACGAATGAGAAATAAATAATAATAATAATACATATTCCGTCGGGAGGCCATGTATTTAGAGCGATGCTTCATTCTAATCTTTTCCTTTTTTCTTTCTTTCATTAATTTTTTATTATTATTGTTAGTATTATTATTATTACTATTTTCCTCTTTATTTCTTTTAATTGTCTGTCTTTTAATTATTTGCGGATTTAATTGTGTATGGAAACGCAGACGTTACAATCTTTGTAATTGCCGTTCAATAACAATGGAAAAGCTACTTTTCGTTATATATTTTAATGCGCTCCCTATTTGTATTCCCACAAGTACTTGTAAATATACTTCATACGTATTTCCAAGTTTTTTTTTTTCCCATGGTATTTCGGTGAATTTGTGTTTCGGTCAATAAAAGTACAAAGTGCATTGTTACTGTTGAGCTAGTAAATATACAACAAACGAGGATTCTTTAAGAATTTAATTATATACTGTAGAAATTTATTAGGATAATATTTTAATTATTTAAATACCGTAAATTCATAGACCCTTCGTTTGAAATTAAATAACGTTGTCGTTCTCAGAACAAACGTTATATGCCCAAAGATGTTCTCCCAAAGCGAAAAATTGCAATTCAACGTAAAAGACATTAATTACGGAGTTTCGGAGGAAAGACATTATTTAAAAGCCATGAAAGCTCGTTTTGCTCTTCATTCTCCTATTATTCGCTCGAAAAATCACAAATTGCCGATGGCAGGGGTGACACTTTCAGCCACTTTTATCATAAAGATGATCGTTTACCCTGTTAGGCGCGTACCAGTCGTCCGTCCTCGTCTCTTCATCTCTGCCGCTCAAAATGACGAGCGCGACAACGACGAAGCGCCGATCGCGCGATATTGCAACTTTTCAAGCCCAATTCCCGAACCCCCGCGTCATTCCTCTTCGACCTGGTGTACGTTCTCTCTCTCTCTCTCCCTCTCTCTGTCTCTCTCGCACGCGCGCGCGCGTAGGCCCGGGACGGGGCGAGCCGGTCTTTCTGGACAGAACCGAGCTAAAGAGCCCAGGGAAGGCAGGGAAGGTAGGCAATGATTAAATAGGAAGGTGGCAGAGCGACCTCCCGGGCACTAGAGCAGCACAGGTAGTTAATAGCTGTGAGGCCGGGGCGAGCGAAACTTCGGAAAGAGAGAGGGATCCAGTCATTAATTAGTTGGAGCAGCGCCGCTCGGTCGCGTCACCTCTCGCGCCCCACACTTCCCCTCGCGTAATTCCGCTTTGTGATAATAATTACGTTGGCGCAGCAATGCGCACCTTTATTTATGTATACGTATGAGTTTACGCGCGCCTGCGCCCACGTAGGCGCCGTTTATGCTTGGCTGATCGTTGTTCCTCGCCGAGGCACTCGCATCCCCCTTCCCTCCCCCCGCACACCAAGCCAAAGTCGCGCTCGACTGACTATTGCCGTGAGCAGTCGTCGATCGGAAAATGGCGAGTAGGAGCGATCCTGGGTGGGGGTGGTGGGTGGAGAGCTGCGCGCGCTCGCGAGAGAGAGAGAGAGAGAGAGACAGTTGGAGTGAGGGAGATGGAGCGCTTGGGAGGAGAAAAATATGCGTACGTCGCGCGTGAGCTTGTTTCGCTGCTGGCGATAACGAGTAGCGCGCGAGCAGCTGGAAAAACGAGGCGAATTTATGTGTGCGCGACGAGTGGCCACTACTACTACACTCGAGAGGGAGAGAGGACGTCTGTGACAATTCGTATCGTCAATATTGAGTTAGATATGCGACGAGTTTGCCTGGGTAACGCGAGTGAAATGATTAGTCGTGACTCGCCAGGCGCTTTTCTCCGCTATTTTACAGATAGCGCTGTTTTTCGTCGTCAGGTTACACATTTTGTTGATGTGACCAGGACAATATTTACTCTTAATGTTTTTCATGCATATTGCTATCTTATTACTATTATTATAATAATAATAATTATTATTATTATTTATATTATTATTTATATTATTATTTATATTATTATTTATATTATTATTTTTATATCCGACAGAGTGTGCGAGAATGACGTGATCGTGGCGTAAGAAATACGCGTACAATATGTAGGAGCCACGAAGGGTATTGGCAATTTGTCATTCGGTAAATAGGTAAATGCGAGTGGAGACATCAGCCGCTCTTAAGTCCCGGATCTCCGGGCTATTTTGTTTTTAATTTTGCCGTACGTTACCCGGCGCGTTGGATATTTTAATTATCCGCTCGAGTCTTTTCAGTTTTAAACGATGGCGACTCAACTTTTTGTCACGGATCTATAATTTATATAACTTTTCGAAAGCGAGTTGTGCAATGCGGCCTTTGAGAAAAATGTCGAGTAGGGACGCACGAATGTTGATCCAAGGGTTGACAAGTATAATTCGACAAATTCATTTGCTTAATTTGTAAGATTGAGATACATCAGGCTTGGCTGTTTCGTGTAATAATCAATGTTGATCGATTATCGCGTGATAGAAGCAAATGTATGAAAATAGAATAGAAAAGTTCAAGCGCACACAACGTTAATCGTTCAATTATTTCTGGCGTTCTGACTAAATGAAATACACAAGGTATGAGTAAAAAATTATAGCCAGACTATACCAGAATTACAACCAGATACAAGCTTCCTTAAGCCGCTTTTCGAAATACGATTTATTTATAGTTTGCCAGTTACATAATTAAATAAAGTTGTAGTCGCGATAAACAGTATTTGCTCGTTTTATCTCTTACATTTCTAATAATTTACCATAATTTATAACGTGCGTTGAATTAAACTTGGCTCATGCAAATAGAATTTGGCGCTCATGTCGCGTAATATCGAAGCCGTTGAATCCAGATATTTTTATGTTCACCCCCCCCCCACCCTCTTACCCAACTAAGGCCTACGACATTACTAAGACGATGATAACTATATAGCAACTGTACCTTACACGAAATAGGACGAAGCATTCGATCTTTGAAAAATGTATTTACGAGTCGCTGAAATCATTAACTGCCAGGGAAGAGATGTGGAGGGAGAGAGAGAGATAGAGAGATAGAGAGAGAGAGAGAGAGAGAGAGAGAGAGGCAGCAGTCGTAATCATCGCAGACGCGCTACTGCACTTATGATTCACGCATACCATTGGGAGAAACATTTTCCATTCGAGTATCATTCGAGAAGAAAGTGCGACTGAACGCAGAGGAAAACTGCTTAAATGTTTTAAACTACACATCCGGTAATCTACGTATCGGACGTTCCTCTACCAAATCCTCGAATCCACCCATCGTCCGCTCGGGTACTTCTATCGCTTTATACGATAGAATTCTATTTGCGGGATTTCGGGGGCGGTGCGCATAGATGACGGCTCGTTTTTTTTTCGCTCCGAGTCTCGCTTGCACGCCTTGGCGTATTTATTGGATTTGGAATTCTCGCCCTGAGAATTTATGATTACGAAGGCCCGGGTGATATAAGCTTTCCTCGATATGTTGCTGGAATTACGAGGAGGTACGGCGACAACAAGAGCATTCGAAATTTATCCGTTGGTGGTTGCTTTTTAAAATTGCATTCGCATACGCACGGGGGAGAACGAGAATGTGCTCGAGTCGAAACAACTTTTTGATTTATGCGCATAATGGTAGTTAGTACGCTATATCATTGGTTGATTACTTTGGTGCGCAACACATCCATAATGTTTGGTTTACCCTGTCGACCTCGTTCGTCTCATCCGTTTTGCCTTCGTTTTATTGGCTGTGGTGAAAGCTTAACCTTGAGCGTTCACACAAAAGATAGAAAATACCACGACGGAATCCTCCCTGCGATATTCGCCTGACCTCAACACGATATTACAATACCCAAAAATTCCTATCTATTAACATTAATCAGCCGCGCCCAGCACATCCGATCACCCCAGACGACTAATGCTTTAACGAATTTCTGCCCGCAGAGATAACCTTTACCGTTTGACCCTGACTACGCTTACGCCGATAGAACATGCAGCTTGGCCCGCAGCCAAAGATAAGACCACCTCGTGCCAGGACAAAGGACAGAGCGTCGAAGACTGCCACAATTACATCAAAGTTCTTCTCAGCAATGGCAAGAGCCTCTTCACCTGCGGCACCAACGCCTTCAGCCCCAGATGCTCGTGGCGAGAGGTTGGACATATAACTCATTGTTTCATCGTCGAGCATAATAATTCAAAGATCAATAAGAGATCAAAGATGGTCGATGAAATTATCCGGCTTTATGCCTGGCTTACTGGCTTACTTACTGCGTGCGCGATTATTATTTCCCGCGAGATTATTAGTTGGAGAGCGATGCCAGAAGTCTTTGATTTTCGACATTTCATACTACAGTAATCTTATTAACACTCTCCATGTTGATTAAAATTTGTCGAATGTTCTTTGAGCTCGTGATTGTTTAATTGTTCATGAGAATGCACACTTTAGCGAATTTACTCGCACGATTAGTCGAAAATAACAAATCTCGGCTCTTTACATTTATGAAAAAAAAAAAAAAAAAAAAAAAGCTACTCACGCCGGTGGATTAATTACATTAATTTAAAATACTTTCCATCCAACAGTTATTAATAACCTTGCAATTCGTAGTTTTTACGTTACATTCAATCATTGCCGCGCGAAGAAATGAATATATAAATGTGATAACAGCATAATGTCAGAGTAGGATGAAACGGCGCCTTCCTCTCACTATTATCGATATTTCTGACAAAACGAGGAATTGGGCATAAAGGAAAATTTCGTTCTTATACAAAAAAAAAAAAAAAAAAAAAAAAAAAAAAAAAGAAAAAAAAAGAAAAAAGAAAAAAAAATAGAGAAGGAAAAAGAAAAAAGAAAAAAGAAAGGCAAAGAGAGGAAAAGAGACAATAAAAAACTAAACTCGTAGATCGAGAATATCAACAGCGTGACCAGCTCGATGTCCGGAGTGGCGATGTGTCCTTACTCTCCGCACTCGAATGTCACTGCCCTCCTAGCACGAGGACAGTCTGGAGGACTTTTTGCGGGCACACCGACCGACTTCTCCGGCGCCGACACTGCAATCTACCGTACCCTCGCCTCGCCCAACTTAAGGACGAGGCAGTACGACTCCAAGTGAGTGCTTCCTTTTACTTCGCATGCACTTAAATATGAATTTACTTGGCAAACTAGAGAGTTTTACAAGGGATTTTATGACCTTTGCATTACCGATACGCTTTATTAATTGGATTTTCGTCTTTAAGGTGGTTGAACGATCCCCAATTTGTCGGTAGCTTCGAGACCGATGACTACGTCTACTTCCTTTTCAGGGAATCGGCTGTGGAGTACATCAATTGCGGCAAGGTAGAGTATAGATTTTTCGATTACCTCACTCTCACTGACCTTCTCTGTCGTCGCTCTTATTCCGGTGCTCGAAGAGAATGTGCTTAATGTTATTAATGAAGCAGAAAGAATCTTAAAGAACGTTAAAAATTAATGGAGCTCTCGACGGAATATATCCCCGGGATAATTACAATTTATGCGGAACATTATAAAACTATGTTACTTTATTCCAATAATCACACTATTTGCCAAGCGTTATAATTATTGTACATTGTTATTATGCCTTGATTATGAGGATGCGAAATGAAAATTTCAGAGTATTTATTATGGAGATAAATTTTATCGCGCGTCACATAAAATGTAAAATGTCTTTGCTCGAATGCACTTTTAAATGCTGCAAACAACCAAGGAGAACGGCACAAGCATAAACGATGAAATAGCAAGTGAATTTAATTAACGCAAGGAAAATCACATTGTTCGGTAACGAGCGTCGTAATTGATGTAATTCGTGTCAATGAAAGGGGGGCAAAAATCTTCCAGTAATTGATAATAATATAATTATAAAAGTGCCTGAGGTACGCGAGCCATGAAATAATGAAACAATTATTCCAGCGAATCTATTCGAGAATTGCTCGAGTCTGTAAATACGATCCTGGCAGTCCGATGCTTATGAAAGATACTTGGACGACGTTCAGCAAAGCTCGCTTAAACTGCTCCCTTCCTGGGGAATTCCCATTTTATTACGACGAGATACAGGGCGCAGCTTATCAACCCGAGGAGGGCCTCGTCTATGCAACTTTTACCACGCCGAGGTACATAATTTATTCTCTTATTTAGAATCTCCTGCTTTTGCTTATTTAATCGTAATCTAATGGTAAATTAAAGCCTCTTTTATCCTTTCAATGCTGGCGTGAAAATCACACTTCAAAGGATTAACGGTAAAGTCCATATCATTTTTATTATTAACGTAGTGGTGTGCGCTCGTGGCAAAGGAAAATTCAGAGCATTTTAGTTAATAATATGCAAATTGTCAGGCTCGGCAAATGAATCGAAAAAATTTTTATTTCCTATATTAAACGAAAATTTATTACAAATTAAAAATACCGCCCATCAAACATTCATTGAATAATGAAGCTCAAAAGGTTTATCCGCGTAGAGAAAAAACATTATTAGTTGAAGAATTTTTTCTCCGCGCATCCGATATTGAACCTAAAAATTTAATTAAAACAAATATAGACAGGCGTACACCTGGGCGCGTGCGCGACAAACAAATTTATGCCCGTTTATACACTCACGCGCATGCACACTCGCGCGCACAATTTATGAATTAATTTGCAATGATAGATTCGTAATGGTGCCTTATTCGCGATAAAAATCTTGATCACAGGCGAGATTAAAAATATACATAAAAGTGAAAAAATAAGAATGACAAGCTGTTAATAATTACATTTAGTTGTGACACTTGCGAATGTATGCATCGCATATTGCTCGAAATACCTTGAAATATAGCAAAATGACAGATTTACCGGCTTATCGTCCTGGCAATCATTATCATTCGTCTTATTTTTACGATTTTCGCCACTCCAGCAGCGGCGATAACCATAAAAAAGCATAAAACTTTTAAAATCAAGGGGACCATTAAATGTACAAAATGAAAAAGCATCCAATCTAGTCGTTAAATGCCTCGCGATATTCCATCGCCACAAAGCGCTAAATATTGGCTGTAAAAATGGTGGCCCTTCGGGCCTCCCTCGCCGACATCCTCGGCGCCCCCATCGGGGCCAACCGCCACACGACTCACTCTACCATAATTTCCCCCTCCACAGCAACGCCATCGCGGGATCGGCGATCTGCGCGTTCAACATGTCGGCGATCGCCGCGGCCTTCGACGGGCCGTTCAAGCACCAGGAGAACTCGGGTGCCGCGTGGGAGAGGAAGCCGGTCGCCCACGACCAGCAGAAATGTGGATTCGCTAGCAGTACCGGCTCCCGCTACCTCACCGACAATCAGCGTTACCAGCTGATGGACGAAGCCGTTCAAAGCGCAACCCCGAGGCCCCTCCACACGGCCACCCTCGAACGGTGCGTATTTCTAATTCCTAAATTGGTCGATCCGGGCGCTTTGAGAGGACTTCGCTACGGAGGCACGGTTTTTCCGATCGAACGAGCTGTCCCGGTTTTTAGCCTTTGTGCTTTGGCGGGTGACTTGCGCCGGCAAGATGGCGACTCACAATGATTAATTAATTTGCAGCCAGAGAGGTTTATTAATCGGCTAAGGACGTGCGCCCGGTTTCGTTTGATTTTACGTCGATGCCTCGAGCGCGGCGGTTCGGTGGGGGGGGGGGCTTTTAGACAAACAGCAACGTGCTTGGAAATCAGGATTCTCCTTTTTAGGCAGAACATTGTACGTTGGTTCTGAAGGAGCTCGCGATCTATTGTTGGAAGTAAAAAACTGTGGGAAAAAAAGTATTATGATATAGCGATCCCTTGCTTGACATTCGCAATGTTTGCTCGTTTAGAGGAGCGTTCGAATTCGAACTGAAAACACATGGATTAGTTGATTAAATTCGCATTAGATTTTGATAAAGGAAGCGTAAAAATTCACGTCGAACGCGAACGAAATTCGGAGTTTCAATGTGTACATCGTGTAAACAATGACAAGAATTCGGTAACATTGAGTCGAATGAGTGAATTTGTATTTCAGTAGCAAAATCTAGTATCCTATTATCTTCTATCTAGCTTCTGTTATATTCGCTTTCACGCATGTGTGTTTATATATATAAATAAAAGTATATTGTAGCTTCGATTAATCATTATTAGAAAAATAAATGTGCATTAGCTTGTAAAACCACTGTGCTAACATTCACAGTGTAAATATATAAAAGTTCAAGAATATTCTCCTTTTTTTCCATTGAAATTCACTTCAATACTCAGATAAATAATAGCAAACCCGCGACGCTAATTTGTCAAGTAGATAAAACAGATAAAATACCGAGTTACTTTCATAGATTTTGGCCCTTGATCAAATACATTAATCTTGTTTCAACATGATATTTACCTTCAGATGAAGATCTAACGATATTTCAGTAGTCGGCAATATAGTTAAAAAAAAAAAATTTATCTATTTGTCTTTGTATATAAAGTAAGATTTATTTTTAAAGTGTCATTGACGATTAAATATTGCGAGTTTACTCTACGACGAGACATTAATTGTCAAAGAAAAATTTGACGGTGCTACGGTTAGAAAAAGACCTATGATAACGGGTAATTTCTTAAATCTTCCCGCCCTTCGACTACAATGAATGGATTTCTAAATTTCAAAATCATCAATGAAATCCATCATACGCTCCCGGATTCTTTCATTTTCATATAATTATTGTCGTAAACAGGTTCACGCACTTAGCAGTAGACGTGACGCCAACTAAAGTACACAAAGGCGTCGCCGTACTCTACGTTGCCACAACCGACGGTTTGATAAAGAAAATATCGGTATTACCTCGGACCCTTGAGACGTGCATCGTCGAGATTTGGGGCCCACTTCCGTCCACACCAATAACCTTGCAGTATTTAAAGGAGACCAAGAGTCTTTATGTTGGGATGCAGAGTGCCTTATTGAGGTAAGCTTATCTGAGATTTTCATATGCATTGAGGTATAATATGCCGGGGGAAGGAGGGGACCGTTAAGAGTGTCGGCAATTACGTCGTATTAAATTAATTTTTTACTCGTAACAATGATAATGGGCATTGGGAGTAATGAAATATTACAATGATTAATCAATAGTTGTCTCCAATGTTTTTCCCAATCTTCAATCATTTTTCAATTATAGTTGATAAACTCGTTACGCATTTACCGGCAAATGTATTTAGAAGTTGTTACCTTTATTTATGAGTGACTAAGCAAACCTGCATTTCGAAATATAAATTATTCGCCATTCGGGGACTGTGATTTGTATAATTGTTTGCTAAATTCAAAAATTGTTTTTCCGAAACGAGGGATATTTTTTTACAGACACTAAGTATTGATGTACGTCCAACTTCATTATTTAAGTTATGTGAAAGTTGACTAATTGCGCAGTTCCTTTTAATTCCACTGACGTTTATTATAATTTCTCTTAACCGAATGCTAATATGTGTGCGTATTTTATATATTTGACACACTCGCAATTTCACCAACTAGTTTAAGTATGTATTTTGCCATTTTTCTTTTTTCTTTCTCTTTTCTCTCTCTCTCTCTCTCTCTCTCTCGCTCTTCGCAAGCGTTCATTAATATATTATACATATGTACCGATGAAGGATTCCTTCCTTCAAGAGATAAATGAATAATACTGTTAACCAAGGATACGTAGCTTCTCTTACGTATTTTAACGGTAAAAATGGCCTATTATAATACGTAATTTTATGTAATTTCTTTAAATTAAGGTATAGCTTGATAGAGCTATTTATGTAAAATTTATAAATTCCTACGCTGCTAAGACGTTTATCGATACAAAGAACTTCAAAAAGAAAAAGAAAAAAAAAAGAATTATTTCCTAATTGCATATATGAATTTTTGAAAATAGTGTCTATGTAAATGGGTGCAGCATATGCTATTCTTATTAAAACAAAAAAAAAAAACAAAAATATAATAACTAAATTTTCAGTTATCGATGAGTTTTATTTTTATGATAACTATTACAACTTCTTAAACGCTATTTCCGCTTACAATACATTTATATCGTAAAATACTATTTTCATTTTTATATGTTGAAATTTGATATTAAATATTCGGAAAATCTGTCAAAACTATTGAGAACTGTACTATTTCAAAAATACGTATTATTCCATATAAATATATTTTATAGATTGCATAAAAGTTTAAATTAATATTCAAATTTAATTTGAAATGAATATAAAGTAAATAATAAAGTTTTTTTATGCCATTCATTATATTGAAAATTTTGAGCTTTATGAAAAAAAATGTTCGATTTCTTTTTACGGACATTTTTAATATTAAAATATATATTGAAATGCGTACGTGCGTGCGTGCGTGCACACCTATATATATATATATATATATATATATATATATGTATATACGTACATTTTCGTAAAGTGCAGTATAAAAAATGCAAAAATTTATTTAGAGTTGGTACATGAAAAAGTACTATTCGAAAATATTACTATTTTGTCAGATTTCCGAAGGTCGACAAAAGTACGATGAACAATGATGAATTAGATCTCATACGATGAAAATATAAAACTTTTATAGCCAAAAATATGAATTCCAATATTACAATGGCCATGTTCATCTATTTTGTTTCGCTGTTCGCCACAAGTTGCGTCGAATAAAAAAGCACATTCTCGCCACAAGCTCGGCTTATCCGTGCTTTATTAGTCAGCGAAACGAAGGAGCATTGACCATTCGATTTAGCCAAATCCGTTACAGAGTAATGGTCAACGAATAAGAGCGTGACTTTCGTAAAAGAAAATAATAATAATAATAATAATAATAATAATAATAATAATAATAATAATAATAATAATAATAATAATAATAATAATAATAATAATAATAAAATAAACTAATATCACGTATGCACAAACCAGGATACCGACAGTACAGTGCTATCGGCACCGTAACCCCCAGTCCTGCCTCAACGCCCAGGAGCCCTACTGCGGCTGGGACGAGCACCTCATGGTTTGTCGCCCCGCCCCGGCCCAGACGCCCGACGGTTATCTCGCGACCCATTGGCAGCAGGATGCCACCAAGTGTCCGATCCTCACCGGCCCCGTTAATGGCGGCTGGAGTGCCTGGAGTACTTGGCACACGTGTCTTCACGAGACTTCCCAGTCCTCCAACGGACATCCCTCCAATTCGAGATCGGCCGACGATCAAGTAAGTCGAGGCGCTTTGTGTGTGGTTACATTAATCGATTATGACAGCCGCAGTGCAGCTGTATTATCAAGTCGGGATAGAAAGTCGCAGCTGTGGTTAGATGAACTGCATTAGTCTCGTCATTGTCCCAGCTAATTTCGTGGGAACTGCGACTGGGTTATTGGCTCCAAGGGGATCTGTTGTACTTTTGTTTACCATTTTTTCATTTATTTCGTAGTAGGGAGTGAAAGGCGCTATGGAAAGAAAAAACTTATAAAATTTAATTAGCATATAGAACGCTCTTATCTCTTATCAAATAGTTAATATTTTTCCTCACACGACAATGTTCACTTATAAATTGTATCTTTTTACGGTATGTACATATTTCTCCGTCCCTACTGCTCCCCCTCCATTGTTTTTTCATTTCTCTTTCTTTTTTTTTATTTACTCAAGTAGTCAGTTTGTTATATCGTTTTTATTACCAATGTTAATTAAACTTCAGGTGAATACTCGGGAAGTTATTTGCGAAATTCTATTTACAGATGTTATCTATTCGGACAAGCTTACGATACATGTGCGTCTCGTATTTGAACCGAACGAATGGAATCGAAAGAATCTTCTTAATATCAAAATCGTGTTAGCTTTAATTTATATTATAGTAGTGAGGCTCTTATAACGAAACTTCTTAACGATAGCTTGATAACTTCTTTACTAATATCCAGGCACGCGAACCTGTTTGAAATGTTTGAACCCTAATAATGGTAATCAAATTTTAGCACTCTGTTTAACATGTAATATATTCCCTTAAATTCAGGAAGTTTAACCGACCTTCAACATATACGAATATTCTTCATATTATTAAAACTAAATATTGACCGTAATATAATTATAAATATTTTATTTAACAATATTTATTATAAGCTTTATAAAAGTAATGCCGCGTTTCCGTAAATTATCCGCAACAAGACAACTATTTAAGACAATATCGATCACCGTCTACATTATACACAATTACCATTTGCCATAAATATTTTAATATTTTAACGTATATTATAAGTTGCCGTGCACGCGCAGTGTCTGGACATTGCACCGTATCGTTTACAGCGTAACGAATGCAAATTAATTTATTATATTTCCGTCGTAGCCTGCAGAATTTTCATTGATGCTACCGTTGATTTATCGAAAATACGACCGATCCATTCGATTCTCCAATTTGTAAACACGTGCGATTATATAATTTAACGAGCGCTTTACGTAGTACGCATATTACGTGGAATAATCGATGCACAACGATTATAGCACAACAAAATATAATCACATTTAAAAGTACTTGATAGTCCAATAATGTTTTCTCGGTAATTCTAACGATACAGCGAATTTAATCATAATATTAAAAATTCCATCTTTCATGTACATCGATAATATACGCATCGAGCATTAATAATCTAGCGAAATAAAGGCACTGATAAAAAATATTTCATTGCTCATCGATTTTATGGTTATGAGCGCATTTTCCACTATTACGACCACTTGAGTAAATGAAAATAGTAATTCGCCGCGATATGAAATATTGTTGGCCTTGGATGAACCCGAGTACCTTAAACGCCTAAATAATCCGAGAACCTATGGAACAATTTTGAGGTACGTTACATCGGCCCCGATTAATTGGGGAGGGCGGGGAGGGTGGCGAGCGCTAACGGTTTCGCGGGATAAAAACAAAATCAGATGGATACAGAGGCTTGGGACTTATCGACTTATTGTCGCGTTCGCCAGAGCTCGGACACCTGCCAGTGCCAGACGCGCGAATGCAACAATCCGCCATCGCAGAATGGGGGCACCAGCTGCACGGGGAGTCGTATGCGCGTGGCTAACTGCACGAGCCACGGCGGCTGGACCGCCTGGTCGGCCTGGTCCGCGTGCAGCCAGAGCTGCGGCCCAGCCATGAAGACACGCAGGCGCACCTGTACGAATCCGACGCCCCAGCACGGAGGCCGAGTCTGCCTCGGCACCGATCACGAGGAGAACTTCTGCATCGAGCAGCCACCCTGCCCGAGCCCAGTCAAGCCCTCGGTCATCGTGCCGCAGTGGGGCGCCTGGTCCGGATGGGGTCCTTGGAACGCCTGCTCCAAGCCTTGTGGCGGAGGTAAGTCTTCTTCATTTAGTGTCATTCCTCTTTCTTCTCCTCATCCTCCTCCTTCTCCTCCTCATCCTCCTCCTCCTCCTCCTCCTCCTCCTCCTCCTCGTCCTTCTCTTTCGAGATGCTTTCTCATTGTTCATCGAGTCAATGTCGCTACTGTTTGATTTTCATGTACTTGTGCTTGACAGCACTCGTACAAGAGTACAAGACTTGCTTGAAGATTGTAAAATGCATTCAAAAGGGAGGGGAGGGGAGAGGTGACGATGGACAATATGGGAACTCATAAAGTCTCACGTAGCTCGGACAATTATTTCCTTCCGAGCATTACTCCCGAGTCACACAACGGGCATTTAACAATATATAAAAAAAATATTCTTCTTTCGCTTTGATTTTAGGTTTCAAGATAAGAAAGAGAATATGTGAAAGTCAGTCGCGCCATGATGGTGCCGTTGAATGTCCTGGATGCAATTTCCAGGTAAGAATAGTATTACAGAACAAGGCGCAATTTATAGGATATCAAATGTCTCGCCTAATCTTAAAAATGCAATGATAAATACAATAGTCAGCTTGTGTGGCTCCTAGGTTTATTGTTACAATATGAGGTGGGAAGAGGGCTATTACGCTAGAGATGCCATGAAAGAATTGTTTTGAAAATTTTGCCGAAAGTCGAATTTTCGGAAAAGCTCTTGGAAAAGCGAATGAGCAATAGAGTACGACCACCGCGCCAATCGACTCATCAATCAATAACAATAATAACACTGAAGTAATAGAAACGCTGGATATTTCCCCACTACGCTCAAAAGAACGTACACTTTCATTAATTGACCCTGTATTATGATAGTGACAAAAACCAAGCGGTCGGCTTTTTTGTTACGTGATATATTCTACAATAGAAATACAATTGCCACACACTACGACAATACGACAATGGGCGATGCGCACTGTTTACTCAAGTTTTTTTTTTTTTTTTTTTTGTTTTTTTGTTTTTTGTTTTTTTTGTTTTTTGTTTTTTTTTGTTTTTTTTTTGTTTTGTTTCCATTTACGCATCTAAATTCATTTGTCGGGCTGAATCCCATGCCAATGGCATTCGATTCAATGAAATTGGCAAAGGCAGCCAGTGCTCGAGAACCGCCGGTATGTCAGCACTGCACACGCACCGTTCAACAGTCATTCCAAATAGGGAACGTTTTATGTTGAGCGTAAATAGACGCGGAAATACAAACTAACTGGACTCTTGAATCCACTCTATCGATCAATGAATCTTCTCTCATCCTCTCTGTTTTTTTTTTTTTTTTTTACCCGCAACCCCGATAGATCGAGGAGTGCAATAGCCACGCTTGCCAAGAGACGAAGAAATACTTCTCGTCGCCGTGGATGGCCGGGGGTAATGGGACGAGCGGTAGCGGGCGTATGGAGAGGCGCTATCGGTTCGTCTGTCGCGCTCAAACGGACGATCCCTCGAGCGTGAAGGTCCAGGCGAAAGAAGAGGAGCGCCATTGTCGCAGCGACGGCTCCTGCAGCAGAAGAAGCAGCTCGATAAATATCGAGACGAGTCTCGAAAGTGGCTGGTCCGACTGGTCGAGCTGGTCGCCCTGCAGTCATTCATGCGGCGGCGGCACGCAATACAAGGTTTGCTCGTCTCCTCTTTAATCTACTTCTACGTCCTAGGTACTTCCTAGGCTACTTTCCTCCCACCTCCGACTCATCCTCATCCTCCTCCACAATCGCACCTGTGCCACGACAAGGTAGACCGATGATTATCCGAGGTACGACTCGACGAGTCTTCCTCGATCTCCGGTCTTCAATCTAATCCCATCCGCGGAGCTTCGGAGGCACGCGCGAAGCTCGTGAAGACTGACCAAGACCCCATTGTTCACAGATAAAGCAGTGCGACTCGCCGTCGTGCGAGGGCCCGTTGACGGAGAGCCGCGCCTGCAATACGAAACCCTGCAGGGGCCTGATCTTCCAGCAGGGCAGCCCAGAGCCGGAACCCGAGGGACAATGGTCCTGCTGGAGTAGCTGGAGCGAGTGCTCGGTGTCCTGCGGTTTTGGCGTGCGAACTCGGGGCCGCGAGTGCCTCGGGCCCGGCGAGTGTCTCGGACCCTCGCGGCTCCGCGAGTCCTGCGAGATGCAGAGCTGCGAGTTCTTCCGCGGCTGGGACACGTGGTCGGCCTGGGGCAGGTGCGACGAGTACAATCTCCAGCGTCGGAGGCGGAAGTGCCTGGTGGCCCAGCCCGGTATCTCCGACTGCCTCGGGCCCAGCGAGCACGCGAGATTCTGCCTCGAGGACACGATGGAGAACGGTTAGTCTGGCCATTGGGGTGTACGCGACCCATTGGATTTCTCTTTCGTTCTTTTATCCCGTGTTTTTAATACTAATGATCTAGATCTAATGATTTAGATTATTTAACATTTTACGAGCCTCGTTTGAATTTTTTAAATACACACTCATGCATATTATTAAGCACATCGGTTTTTAATTATGCGATATTCGTTCGTGCATATCGATTATAAGAACACAACAACTTGTGCCAATGGAGTTCAGCTTTTGATTTCGAAGGCATTTTAATTAAAATTCTAGAATTCTATAATTCACAACGATAAGGAAATATTTTCCATTAGGCGTTTAAGAATAAACATTCAAAAGTACATTCTCGCCCTGACAGTGACGCAAAAATTTTATCAAAGTTTTAGTTAACATTGATAACACTGACAATAAACAACACGACGAGGAATAGAAATTATTTATAACAACATAGGATAGAAGCCGATTATCTCTAATTTGCCAAGAGATAATTTTGTCGTCAATTCTGAAGTTTAACGTGAAGTTACTTAAGCTTCCTTTTTACGTATCGAAAATCTTTATACTTTGTCATTGTTCTATTAATAAAGCCATTAATATTTCGCCTCGACAAAGCGGTAGTAGCGCTGCATTAAATTTGTTCGAGATCTTCTAATTTTCATTATTACGTCCTCTTAATCTCGGCTTATTTCCATCACGTACATAACAGAACACGGAATTCCATTTCGCGCTATAATTATCATACGTGGAGGACATGCAGAAAGTAGAGCACAGACATCCGTAGGATTTAGTTGGGAGGAAGCGGTCGGTCGTGAAAGGAAAGGGGTGCTGTGGAATAAATCACGCACCTATTCGCGTTTTTCTTCTTGAAAATTGCAATAATCCTCATAATGATTTTTAATTATTTTTTCAACCTGTTTTGCATCTGCGGAGTAACGTTATAATTTTATAAACTCTAGTTAATATACAATCCGATAATAATTGCACTCTTAATTGCTTATTATCATAGTAAATCTATCGATAATTACACTTTAGTACTTTACTTTATCTGCGTTTCTACCAACACTTCCTTGCTTTTATATTCCTAGTTTAACTGTTTTTCATTTTATAAAATAATTTTTCCTCGACCGACAATTAACGAGGCTCTTTTTTTATATCAATCGATAGCAATTTGACGATAAAAACTTTATTGAATTATAAAGTTTGCATATTCCTCGTAATTCTTAAATTCGAATAATTTTATTATATTTATAGATGTTTTTTGTTGTATTTTTACGACTATTTAATGCACTTCTTTACAGCTACTTGTTTGTACTTATACAATATTCATAATTATAAATACTTTGTAATGTACTACGTTTTGTATGCGTGAATGAGCGTGTGCGCGATATAAAATAGTGTTTACATGAAAGAAGAAGAAAGAAAAAAGAGAGAGAGAAAAAAATCGGGTAATATTGTAATTTTATAAAATTATTGTTGTAATATTTGCGTCGTTATTGAAAATTTTAACGATCAGTGTGTATTCTGTTTATTAGTGAGAAAAAGCATCTGCATCACGCTATTTTATTCGCTGAAACTTGAAAATCCGCTGTGTCCTTCGATAGGCTCTGCAAATTTAGCAACCTACCGAATAATCTCAATATTTTTCATCCTTGTTCCACGTCCTTGCTTCCTCTTATTCTTCTTCTTCTTTCCTTTCTTTGCTCATAATTCCAAATTATTCGTTGAACGAGAATATCGGTGGTGGTGGTGGTGGTTGCGGCTGGGTGGGGGAGGTTGGGATGGTTGGGGTGGCTGGGGGGTGTCTAGGGTGTCGTGAGTGGTGGATGGGGTTGTGGTTGGGGGGACATTTGGGGGGGGGGGGGGGCTGGTGTAGTTGATGTGGGAAGCGCCTTAAAATCAATTTAAATAAACAGATGTGTTTGTAATTTCCTATCACTTGGCGAGTGCGTTATCCGGCCTGCATATTAAAAGCCATTAAAAGCCTCCGTTCTTTTTCATATTCCCACAGATGTCAACGCATTGCCGTCAAGGATTGAAATGGCTGGCGTATCAGTGGGCGCCGTAGTGGGAAGCTGCTTAGTTGGCTTTCTCATTGGTCTGGCTCTCACCGCGCTCATGTGCTTCTATTATTTGAAACGCCAGAAGCCACGCATACCTGGTAGTCCTCACTACATAAGCAAGCAAAATCCATACGTGACTGTACCATTGAAGGAGGTCGGTATTGTATTGTCACTTTTCGTTTGGACTTGTTGAATGCACGATTGGGTGGAACGACAATTTTGCTCGCCCGCCTAGATTTATCCTTGGGGACACTTTTCATAACGCGTTATAACAATAACGAGGGAACAAAGGGCACGGCAATGTCGCGTTTTTTCAAAGACAAATTGCTTAATTTCGGCAACTTTTTTACCTTTCAATGCTTCGTGCACTAACCTGTTGTAATGGAAAAATCGATAAATGCGTTATGACATTTTCTATATATATATATATATATATATATATATAGTAAGTAGTTGACTACCGATCGGTGAAAGTTAGTCATCCCTACGTCGTAATAAATGTATAGCAAATCATACATTATCCCATGCATGTAATGATTTTATTATTATTATTTTTTTTTATCATAAATCTCATTTAATTAAAACTTAACCGTCTGACCATTATTTTTAAGACCGATGTAAATGAAGTATGCGCACGAGGCATAAAGTATCAATAAGCAACTGTTTTATCAGAGTCCATATTATAGCATTGCAACCCCGAATAATTATGATGAAGCACGCTTTTTTGCATTTTCTAAAAAATTCTAACTAAAAAAATTCCAATTAAAAATTTTATTAAATGAAAATTTATTTCCGATTCAAATATCCACCAAATTTTTCGAGAAAAGTTCTCGTAAATAGTCATTGGAACACTTGTCGGTAATACGAGGGTGTGTGTGTGTGTGTGTGTGTGTGTGTGTGTGTGTGTGTGTGTGTGTGTGTGTGTGTGGTGGGTGGGTGGTGTATGGAAAGGGGGATTTTTTTTCTTTTTATTGTTTATATTTGGATAGAATAGTAGCTACGGCATTCGCCGCGGGCAATGCCACGCAGTTCGACTAAAAAGCCTATCGCATTGTTCTCTGCCGCAGGTGAATACAAAGCGGCAGCCGAGCTTCTCAGGCAGCACCAATGGCACCCTGCGCACCGGCAAGAACAATTCCATCATCAACGGCCTCGGCAGCCCAAAGCTCTACCCCAAAGCCCTCGAGTACGAATCGGCGACGCTCAAGCGCAATAGCCGAGAACAGCACATACGCGCCGAGCTCGATCAGGAGAAATACTATTGAAAGGTGGAGGATCGGGTGTACGGTGTTGACGATAAGGGGGTTGAGGAGGGTATGGACGGTTGGGATTGTGCCGTCGGGCTTTCGTTACAAGATTGCACACGCAATTAATGTGCCTTGAATGTGTCGTGTACGGCGAGGGATAGGCATGGTGGAGGAGGAGGAGGAGGAGGAGGAAGAGCAGGTGGAGGAGAACTGCGAAGAGGTTTGTTAATTTTACAAACAACTCGAAACAAACGTGGCTCGTCATTATGGTCGATATTTTTCATTCTTATGTTTGGGCGTGTAAAAGTATCTTTTGTGGCAAATACTGATGGGAATAATATTGACGGTAGTTCTACTTTTCTCTCTCTTTATCTCTCTCTCTCTCTCTCTCTCTCTCTCTCTCTCGTCTTTCTCCCTCTCTGTAACTATTGCTCTAACTATTGCCGATATATATCAGAATGTCAATTCGCGCCACAATTATTCTTTCAGCGTAATGATTTTCTTATGCAAAGGTCTTATAACCTATGTTGAGCACATTATATTATGAAAGGGTAATTATTTATATGTCGTTGGACGTTTTTATACGGGAAATTTATGTAAGGCAATGATTGTCTACGAATGCCATGTAAATGTCGACGACTTTTATTAGTTTTGTTATAATTTGTTGATTGATTTAGCGGTTAATGTACGACTTGGCTTTAATCTAAATTTATATTTACTGTAAAGCAAAAAGCTTTTTATTATTTATTACAAAATTTATATTTCTTTACGAATAGTGAAAAATGTATTTTAAATTTTAATTATCATTATGAGAATAATTATAAATATATAATTATAATAAATTATAATTATTATGAATTTTTATTTGAATGTAATTTCGCTTAAATAGGAATTTTTTTATTTATTAATTTTTTTCTTTATTATTATTGTTTTTTTTTTTTTTATTATTTCTTTAACTTTTTAAATCAATACGACTTTGTAGAAGTACGCAATTCTTCAAAAGAAATTGAATTTTTAAATTGACAAATTTGACACATTGAGTATATTATTAATGTTATTAATAAATGTTGTATTAGAGTTAAATATAATGTCGTGAATACATAAATTAATTTCAACGGTGATAACAAGCATAAGAAGCCTACAAGTGTACTTTTAGCTATTTGAAAGACTTGAAACAAAGCTGTTTTTATCGAATTAACGTTAAGAATTGTGCGATATATTCCTCTTGTCTATTGTAATGGATAAATAGCTTTTATTCTATAGCGGAATGATGTAAAACGTTATTATTATATTTTTCTTCTTCTAATTTCGTTGACGTATATTCAAAGGAATTCGGCAATATTAATTTTAGTAAATATAAAAAAGCCAGTCATTAGGCTTGAAATGTAATATGGCTGTCCGTAACTTTTTCTGTCATTGTGAAAGATATTTACGATTTGTTTGAAGTATGAATTGAAAGTTTATAATTTTTGTTTAATGTACATAGAAGCAGAAGTGTGTATGTGTGCACGCGATTGTTTATCTGTAAATGATTGAATGTATCCCCTTTCGAATGTGACAGGGCATTTTGTCAATACATTTGTAAAAAATTCTCATTTGCACATTATTACTACTACTTAAGAGATTCGCATTATTATTAATTCTTCATTCTTAACTCATGAGCATGAAAGTGCGTGAATGAAATCAATTAGCTCGTAAGATTTTTACAAACAATATACACTGTAAATAAAAAATGTCTATAAAAATGTTTTTATACGCATAAGTCGATAAATGAAAGGCATATTAAAATGTATATTTTTTTTTAACAAATTATCGTAAGTATTGTGCCATGAGATACGCAGACAATAATTCACTTCAGATGCGTTTTTATGAAAGAAAAAAGTACGCATTTATGAAAAATACGTACTCGGGGGGGGGGGGCGAGAGTAAATTTTCCTTATATAAACAAAAATCAGCCATTTTTACGGTTACAATTGTTACGAGGAAGCGGAAGTTAATTATTTATTGGCTCACATTGAGCCGCGACCGCTTGAATCAGAAATTCTTTTTATTCCTTTCTGACGTTTCAACCTAACCGACGCGAACAAGACGGAAGTCTACCTTTTTTAATTATTTTTTTATGCGAAATACATAACTGCAACATAACGTCGCTCTGGCCTGGTGTAACACTAATTTGTGAACCTTGCGTGTGTGAATATGCAAGGTATATTTGTAACCGTATAACATTGCGAAACAATTGACACTCTTACACTGCTATTTTTGTCTCATTATCTTACATTTATACAATAAAAAAAATTTTTGTATAAGAAACATGTTGTTTTTTTCATACCTATTTTTCCTTCACGAATCAAGGCGTTCGTTTTATTGACATAGAATGAAAAGAAAAAGCAAACGATATCCGTTATTCATAAATTATAAATTATTTATATATATATATATATATATATATATATATATATATATATATATATATATATATTTTTTTTCTGTGTCTCATATAAATATTGTTATTCTGTGGATCATATTAAATAGAAAAAAAAAACAAAAAAAAAACAAAAAAACAAAAAAAAACTTGAATATAATTATTTCAATATTATTGATAGATTTTTATTATTATCTGTAGTTATATTTTCAATAAATAGTTGTTCATATACAGATTTCCACTAATTTGAGAAGCAATATTTGTTATTTTATCTTAGGATAAACTACTCAGAGCAATTGGATCTGATGTAGTTAGGTTCAAATCAATAACTGTTGATAATAGTTGAACTAGTTATTTCTCAAATGAGAAGTATGAAAATAAAAGAAATCTGACATTGGCAACAGTTAACTTTATTTACATATTTAATAAACATTACAAATATATAACATATATATATATATATATATATATATATATAATTTTTTTTTCACTTCAATGTTGATTATTTAAAAAGTATGGATTAATGCTAATGCATTATTGGTTCTAGAATTATTCATTAGTACATCACTAATATAATAATAGAAAAAATATATCTATTAAATGTATCCAATTAACAAGATATCGCATAATAATAGTACAATATAAGTAAGCATCAATACATCAATATTTAATGAAACAAATGTACAGCAATTAGATTAATACAAATATCAGCCCCTTAAATCCATTATACAGAACGAGAATCGTGTTGAAAATATTGATGTAGAAACGATCTCTTCTTTTATTAAATCTTTTATTAAATCTAATATTTGACATAATAACAATACCCTATGTCCTATTTTTCATAATTTTACGGGAAAAATTTTATTATTATCTTAAATAAGCTAACTTACTAGTTTGCCAATACAAAGTAAACTGTTGTATATGGGAGCTGAAATTGTATTAAAATTCGCATTCGAAAATCATTATTGGATAAAATTAAATTCGATAATTGAAAGTGCACTCGATGGCTGAATTGTTGAATGCTGAATAGTATTGTTAATGCACGAACATAACACAGTTCGTCATACGGTATATATTATGCATTTTTTATTCCTTCGTAATTTCGTATGTACCTGGCAACAAAGTTATTCTATTACACTTTGCTTGTACATCAAAATGTAATATATAAATAATTTTTTTTAAGGGATAACGTGTGAGATGATTACTATCGATTGCAATCGACGACACGGAATCTCCAACTCGATCGGCAATTCAATTATAATGCCGGGATGTGTTGAACGTTCAGGTTATAAATTACATGCCAAGATGAACGATCAAGAGCAAAACCGGATCTTTTCCGTCAGTCGCCGCCAAGATCTTCGCCAAAGTGTTCAATTTGTTCGATAACGTAGTTCATATTCTCGTGAGTTGGTGGAGGCTGGCAGTTGACAACCATGCGAAAGAAGTTCTCGTATCCTTTGTGAACCATCGGTGTATAGCCGATCATCAGCGTCCCTTTCATGATCATTCGTTCCTTAATATCTGGCGCAATTTTATGCAGCTTTTTGTGCCACTCTTCGTTTTCTAATTTACCTCTCATTTTTGGCGGTATGTACCTGCGACAGAGCAAAACATAATATTGGACAGAGTAGATTAAGAGAAAGAAGGCGCAATTATTACAAATTCAAACTCATAATTGGTTTTGGATTATTGATTATTCGAAATTATTTGCAATAATAAAAGTTGCGTATTAATATCCATTAATATCATATTAATAATTATAAATAATTATAAGCATACTATTTACATGTAAGAAATGTGTAATATAATTCCTAATTGGAATAAAATTGCAACAATATTGTATGTAGCAACTTTTTATACTACTCCTCAGCCTCTATATTTGCAATACTCAGGAGAGATTTATCGCAGTAATGGCATAATTAATTTCTAATGAATGTAAGCATTTATTAATATATTACCAGAAGCAGATATTGGATCCTTGATACTTAGGAAGTACCATCCTGAATCCCGGACGATTTTTAACAAGTTGGAAAAAGTACTCGGCTGCCTCCATAGCTACGTCGACGGAGTGCCGTAATCCCGCGGTGCCCCGAGCTTTCCACATCAGCCATAACTTCAAGGCGTCTGTCTGCAGTGAAAAAAATCCGATAAGTAAAAGAAAGACCTTGGAGTGGCGCTTGCGGAGCACCCAAACTTACCTTCCTGCCGCACTGGACGCTCTTATCTCCCGTGTCCCAAGACACGTCGTAGAACTTGTCTTGCTGAAAAAGATACTTGGCCCCGGCGCAATTCGCCTCGTGCAGGGCATTCTTGCCCTTGACAAGGAAAAAGGAACACTGGAAGGGTGCCCCGAGCATTTTGTGAGGATTCCACGATACGGAGTTCGACCTGCGATGGCCATTTATAATAAATGTTCGATATTTCTCAGTCTTCGGCCTAATTAATTTTCAATTATTATCGGACGCGACGATCGGTCAAGTGGCGGCGAGGCAATCGCGGATAATACCCCGGGGAATAAATATTTACATGAAAATCAGTATTATCAATCATGCCGTTGCTCTTGCATTAAAAGCAATTAACTTTAATGATATTTGAGGCATAATTTGTTATCGTACGCTTAATTCGCGATCGATTAGTCTCTATAGTATCGCAGTTGACAGTGTCATTGAGATTATAATAGAGTCGGGCGATTCCGAATAATCTAATGGATTATGAAGCTCCAATGCTTCATTATCATTAGCATTAAAACGAAAGAAACATACAATCAATGTACTTACTGTTCGATCCCTGCGAGGCGATTGCGATAATTGTTCGATAGCAAAAGTGTGCCGCCCAAGCAAGCCTGTTAAATTCATCGAGTTCGAATTAGAGTACATTTAAAAAAAAAAAAAAAAAAAAAAATTTAATAATCGATATGTCCTGTCGGATTAATAAACAGATACAAACATCAACGTGGAGCCAAATATTTTCCTCCCGACAAATAGCCGCTATTTCCTCCAACGGATCGAATGCCCCTAGAACCGTCGTACCAGCAGTCGCATTCACGAAAAATGGTACACACCCCCTCTTCCGCGCTTCCACAATCTTGGATTTTAAGTCGTTCACGTCCATGCGTCCGAGCTCATCGGATCTCACCTGAAACGACGAGCTTAATTATTTTGCGCGTTTATAATTTGCGGTAATGAGGCTAGTCGTCAGCCAGCCTATTAAATCCATAATGATTCATAGAAGCCGTATGTGGCTGGAGATAAGAGATGAGAACACTTTCATTTTGAAATCTGTATGGTGAATTCTGTGAATTTGAATGTTATTTTGAATATCATTTTATAGACTATCATAATTAATTCAGATATATATATATATATATATATATATATATATATATATATTTATGATATTTTTATCATCTAATTTATATTATTATATAAGACATTTTTGTGTGTGTGTGTGTGTGTGTGTGTGTGTGTGTGTGAGCGCGTGTGTGTGAGCGCGTGTGCGTGTATCGACAGATTATATAAATATTTTATCTTTATTTCGAAAGATTATTGCATTTTAGTATATTGTACATCTCTATTTTAATCCATTTTCCACTTCGTTAGTTTTAATTTACTAACATTTGTATACGACGTATAATGAAGTCGTATAATTTTTAAAAAGTGCAAAAAATTTTTTTTAAATCACCATTAAAAACTATTGCAATTCTATCGAGTTGTAATATTTATATAATAATTTGATCGTCGAGTTGATATCTGTTTTTCGTGCAAAAATATAAATCTTATTTTGTTTTGCCATTCTATTTTAATACGTTGTAATGACAATATCATAGTTGACTTGGTACATGCATCCATATGCATAATACGGATAATATTTCAGGCAATGGTAATGGTATTACATTTTCTTTTACAAATTTAAACAATAATACGGTAAATTTTAATAAGTTGAACGAACCATACCTTTCTGTCTTTTACAATATTCATTTAACTTAAGCCGTCATTTTCATATATTTTTAAGCGAGTATTTTAAACGTCCAAGTTCAAAATTTACATACATATACAGAACTTTATCTAAGATTGCCTATTTGGTTTTATTTATCAAAGATTTTCTTTTAAATACATTGGCATTTTCATATAAATACGTATGCAAAGATTTTGCTTCAAATAGCATTTTTACCCCTACAATTATTATTAGTTAATAATTAATTATACTTTATGTAATATACATTATAGTTCATTATCATTTTTTCTAGTTGAAAAATATTTTAATCAAACAGAGCTGTTTCAAATGCAATTGCAAATACATTTTGTGAATAAAGCTATTGGCAAAAAAAAAAAATGTTTTCTTTTTTACAATACAGAAACAAATCTTCTTTAACAAAGCAATTGTTATTTAATATCATAGATACTTTCAGTGCCTCGACGATCCCTCAGTGTACGAAAGGAATATTTGTCAAGCATATAATAATAACTTGTAAAATATAAAGGATTATGTGACTATCCTGGCTTAGTCTCGTATCTTCAAACATGTTATCGTAGACTTTTCATGTCCGTTTTAACGGACGTAAAACGAAATATATATATTAAAAACTTGTTCGGTTTGGAGATTAATTTTCTTTGATTTAAAATAGAAAAGAATATATTCAAAGCTATATTCTATTATATTTGTTTTAAAATTAAACTGAATAATTTAATATTATTATTAACAACGAATTATTATTAATAGCGAATTAGCCCTTATACAATTACGTCAATGTTTTATGCTTTCTGAACAAATATTTTATGTAAATTTCCCGACGTAATTTCATCAAAATCTTGTTCGTAAGACAATAATTAAAATGCAAAATCGGAACGATCGTTGTTCAAATGTAAAGATATTGTATAGCAAACAGTTCGTAAAAGTAATGTCAAGGGGGAAGGGGGAAATAATGGTTATATGGTGAGCAATGTAACGTCAAATTTTCCTAAGTAACATACGACAAATTAAACGAATTTTATGTAATATTATATCTCTATTATGTATTTATATGAGGAAATTAAATTATCTTGTATGTTAAGTGATTTTGTAAATATTCGTATTTTAAGAATATTTTACGAATAATCTCAAGAATTTGTATTTCAAGACGCTTATTCGTATTTAATTTTATTTAAAATATCGAATGTATATTGGCTACGGAGGATAAATTTCATGAAATTCTTTCATGAAAGGTAATGTCGTTATTTTATGTAGAAAATGAATTTGGATAGTATAGGATAATATTAATTTTAAACTCGCGACGATCGACATTATAACGAAACTCGGCGCATTAACGGCAGATATTATTGTAAAACAAATTAATCGATCAATGTCAAACTCGCTGAACTAAAGAGAATCTATAAGAGTTGAACAATCACTGGCACTTAATACTTTATTAGTACGTATGTGAAGTATTATTCTGGTATTTTATCGAGAAAGTCTCGAATTGGCTCGATTAAGCAAAAGTTTGGTAACGGCGATTAAAAGGGTATAAAGTAAGGGGTATAAAGTGGCCTTAGCCATCGGCGTAAAGTAATCGTCGATTTAATCGCTCTCCTTCCCGCAGACATCGCGGCGCGTCGACAATATTGCCCGGTCACGCTCTACTTAAATGAAGAAAGCGAGGAAAAGAGGGAAAGCAGCTTAGCCATTCTGGATCCGTCAAATCTTGGCAAAGCGAATAGCGAGCGCACCTTGAAGATGTTGTCGGTGCCGATACCGAGCCAGTGCGCGCCTTTCGTGATGGAATAGTGGCCGTCCTCGCTTGTAAGGAGGCCGAGGGTCGGCAGCCCGTTCAGGCCCTTGCTCTTGACCTCTGGGAAGTAGTGGTAGCGGGCGAGGACAATGCCGTACATGTTGGAGAGGCTGCCTCCTGGTGAGACGATGCCGTCGGCCTCGGGCATCGGGGGATAGCCGACCAGTGCCAGGGACTGGGCGAGTACCTCGCGCTCCAGGAGCGTAAAGACAGGCGCCACCTCGTACGTGTACCTGTCGTAACAATTAAATGCCATTTTGCCAATTGTCGACTTAATTGGCAGCGTCAAGTTGCGGCGCTCGGACGCTCCACAATGTAAGAGAGCGCAAGGAGGCAAATTTGTTTTCCAACGTTAATTATTGCCTATAATAATGATACAAAGCTTATAAATCCTTATTAATAAAGGACCTTGATATCGTTATTGAGACAACGTGTATCATCGTCTTATTGATGGTTGATTTCAATTAGATGTCGATTATGATACAAAGCCCGTTATTAATAAGGATGCGAATGATATAATGTAAAATTGTATTACCCGAGTATTTTTACTAAAGGAGATTTCGAATGTACAGTTTGCACGTGGATGGTGAAATTCAAATTGCATGTACAGCAGTAAATAAATTAAATTCAAAGTTACATTGCAATGGCGATGAAAAGTCTCTCGCTACTCTCAACGAGCTCATATGCGCGAGTGTTTACGCACTTTTACACGCGAATGACTGTGGGTGCCTCTCTCTCTCTCTCTCTCTCTCTCTCTCTCTCTCTCTCTCTCTCTCTTTGACTCTGTGACTCTATGTGTTTAAGTGTTTGGACGAGTACGGACATTCGTATACGTGGTGAGATAGTAGATAAAAAAAAAAAAAAAAAAACATCCAAATTCGTGCCAAACAATGTATAATATATATTTACTGGCTTGTATTTAGTGCCTCGGTGAGCCAAGCGCCAGCGAGGCCATAGACGTCGATGCCGGCAAAAAGCTGATTGTGAAAGTGCGGACTGAACGTTCTCACGGAGTATTGGACGATCTGCCGTACAATTTGATGTATTTCCTCTTGATTAGCCCCATTCTCGCCCAATTGTGCGGAAAATTCTCGCTATAAAATCAATAGAAGCATTCGCAGTTTTAGGATTGACCGGACGATCGCTACGTCTGATCAATTTTTTTCATTTTTTTTCATTTCAGTCGTTGTTGAATTTTCTACCGACAATATTTTACCGATGACATATCATTTGATCTAATGACGAAAAATGATAATATAATTCGTTGCACGGAATTTGTAAATAATATTAAATAATAATATCTAATTCAATGGCTTTTCAATTATTCATCCATAAAGCTTAGTTTTTAAAGATTTTTGCATATTAAAATTTTAATTTAATAAGGACTACATACATACAACTATTTTATATTTTATTATTCACATAAAAATGTGGCAAAATATTTTAAATTCTAAAAGAAACATTGTTATTTATCAACCGATTTTTGTCAATCAAACAAACAAATAAAGCCTGAATTTATACTATTACTAAACGAGTTTTCAGTGATTATTTTTATAGTTATTCATATATACATATATAAATGCTTTAAATTTTAAGTATTTTTGTATGAATTAAATATTACATTAAAAGGTTCTTATTAATATTATAAAGTAATTGAATATTAAAAGTATACAGTAACATTTCAAAGTAAGAGATTTATTAAATTATTTGTTCGGAATGGACATATTTAACAAAAATAAATATGCCCTTTGTCAATTAATTTGAAATTCGTTTAGTGAGATATTGGCAATTAAGCCTTTGAAATATTCTATTCATCAGAATGATTTTAGAATTGTGTAATTCACACATCAAATATTGATGAAGCATATTAAAGATAGAATACTAATATAATATATAAATACTAAAATAACATTATGAAAAGATGAATCGTTGTAATGGTAACTGACGTATTGCAATATCGCCTGTTCTATAAGAAACGAAAAGAGCGAGCGACAGTGTGTGTGTGAGGGGGAGGGGTCGCGGGAGGGGACGGAAGAGTGGGTAGAAGAGAGTGGGAAGAAGAAGAAAGGGATAGAGCGAGATCGAGGAGCAGGGTTAGCCAGTTTACATAGCGCGCACTATGTTTACGTAAATGGTAAAAGAGTTTTCTCGATAAGGCGACGACTGTGATTTTTACAAGACTGCCAACTACTACAATGAATAGAAATGGAAATTTAATACTTATGAGTATATCTGCTTATGCTTGAATTTTGGATCTTTTTTGTTTGTTTGTTTGTTTGTTTGTTTGTTTGTTTGTTTGTTTGTTTTTTTAATATAACTCTAAGCAATAATTTAATAATAATTTGCTAAGTTATTGTTCCTAAATTGATTTTTTTTTTCAGTACTAGGAGTGTAGAATTCAAAAAAAAAACAAAAAAAATAAATAAAAAGACCACATTGGCGCGTGAAATTATTCAACGATACAAGTAATTCGGCAAAGAGTTTCTTATGCAAAGAATATTTAAGAAGTATTTCAACGGCGCTCCTTACGATAAATACATTCATACATTAATCAGACGGTACAATTACATTCCATACTAATCAATTGCAAGTGGAGATTAAAAAATAAATAATGCATTTTTTGCCTAAGTATTTTATTGGCGAGAGTACTTTTGGAACTTTCATTTTAATGAAACGTAGAACTTTAATATCCGAATGAGCTATTATTATGTTTTATCCGTATAATACGGGGACTTTGGACAAGCTAGATGAAGGTAATTTTAAAGCGAGTAATCCACATTTACATTTGAATAAGCAACGGCGCATTCATCACGTTAACTACATAAATAACAAATCGAAATTGCCCTTAAACTGCGGATGTTAATTGTCGTGGATCGAAGAGAGTTGGAGTCGGCGAAATGGGCTAATCCTCTAGTAAGGTCAGCAATCGATTAATCCTTAAATAAAGCCATTGTAACCTCGTGGATCGCTGACCCGAGCGAGCGAGGAGGAAAAAGGTGGGAGCCGTTGGACGGGAGCAAATGTCGCGAACCTTAACAAAGGAACTCACCTGTAGCTCGGCTGGATGAAGGAAGCGCACGATCGGCTGCTCGGCTCCCGTATCGAAGAACTCGCACTCGGCAAGGGCCTCGAGGATGTCGCGCAGGACGCCCTTCGCCTCGACGGCACTCGGGCCAGCGGCCATCGCGCCGTTTACCCACGCAGCCGTAGAGAGAGAGTGAGAGCCGTGGGCCTTTATTTCCCAGCGAAGCTACGGAGTACTTGCGAGTCCGGCCGACCCCCACCGCATCAACGGCCAGCCGAGAGGGAAAAGTCCGTCGTCACCGGCACGCGCCAACGTTGCTTCTCGTCGTCACGGCCATACATGAGGACCGCAACGCCACGACGCCGAGACTCCTCTTTCTAAATTATTCCCTTAGGCTATTGATATTCCTTCCTTTCCTTCTCCTCCGCCTTTAAACCTTACGTTTGGATTTCCCGATGACTTGGTAGTCCTGTCACGGTAAAGAGAACTGAACCTGAAAGATGTATGAGGTATGCATTCGCGTGACGCCAGGTCCGTTCTCGCGTACATTTCATTCGATTGATATAAATGATTGACGTATGGATTGTCGGGGGCATGAATTTGTCTCAGCTCGGCTGAAGCCAATTGGCCCATGAGGCAGATGTCTCGGCTTATTTTGCGGCTAAAATGCTTGACGAATCCGCGGAATGAGAAGAGTAATAAAAGTTAAAAACCGAGAGCTCGGAAGGAAATTGCAGCTCTTTTACGCACGAGTGTTTCGTTTCGACAGAAGTGACAACGAATCAATACATATATAATGCCTCTCAGGAGTTTGTTTTATTCTTATTTTCTCTCTCTCTCTCTCTCTCTCTCTCTCTCTCTCTCTCTCAAATCACCTCAAATTTGACTATCATTATTTTGTATAAATAAATATAATAAGGTCATAAAAGAAAGTAGTTAATAAAAACCTTTTTATCATAGAAGTTGTTTCTTTAATCTTTCTTTTTGAAAAAATCGAATCAATGTTCATAATGCATATCTATGTAGCTAAACACGTTGAACGATGATAAAATTACAATTTTTTTTTCAATATGAACTCGTATATAAAGTGGTATTTAATGTTTGAATTTTCTGTTCTATACAACTATTTTACAAATCCTTGATTTATTCACACTTTGTTAATCATTTATAAGCGAATTAAATTTTAATAAAAAATCATTCAATGAATTTTGAATACTGGACCATTTAGATAGGATCGGTGAAATATTATTTCTAATAAATTTATTAAATTACTTCATTACTTAGAATATTTATGGATGAATTTTATAAAACTTTCTTTATCGAAAATTTTGATATCATATTTTAATTAATTATTCGAATTGTAATTTTCAAAAATTATATTTAACTATTAGTTAAATACAATCGCTTATAAATTATAAGCCATGAAATTATATTTAATAAGTGAATTTAAAAATATTTTGTAGTGCTCCCTCGGAGCAATAATTCTCGGAGCAAATAAATTATCTATTATTTTCAATATGTATATTATACGTACAAGGACATATACAGGCTCAATAAATTTATTTATATATATATATATATATATATATATATTGTTTTTAAATTTATTTGAAATTGATAACTATTTAATATACATGAATAATTTAAACTAATTATTTTTCAATGTTAATTTTAGTTGGCAATTTCATTTTAAGAAAATTGTAATAGAAACGAATGTATTTATGTGTCGTAATTGTAAATATGGTATAACACAATGGAATTTTTTTTTTTTTTTTAAGATCATACTTTCAAAGTATTGAAAAGTTATTGTACATTTTTCTCGTCGTCTGTCCTTATTATCAATCGGTATAAAGTTTTGCATAAATAATTTAATGCTTACAACTAGGGGGATGTTTTGTCAAACATGGCTATTCTTTTCCAACACATAGTTCCCACAAATACTTTGCAATGATAGTTTAACAATATCTTACTCATTATTAGCTTCTAGGATTGAAAATGTGTATTGAAGTGTATTCATTCTTAATTGTACAATATAGAAAACTAAAGTGGCTTGTAGATTTATTGAATTATTTGCTTGCATATAATTAGTAATTAATAATAATGTGGAGCTATTATTATTATTATTATTATTATTTTTTTTTTTTTTTTTTTTTTTTTTTTTTTATTAAAAAATATCTTAATTTAAAGTTGTATAATTAAGTATATATCAAAGTAGTAAGATATATTTAGAAAATGGTATAAAAAAGTACTTTAAATTGTTCAATGTCGTTTTAGGACCGATCCAGTATACTAAACAGTGATAATTAAAAAGCATAAAATCTACTTTCTCTTATAATCAATAAGTTATTTATACTTTATTTATACAACTTATCTGAAGTATAGATGCTAGTATATTTAGGATATATAATTTCTTAATAAAGGTGTTTGTTATTTTTTCTAATGTGTTAGTTACATAGTATTTTATTACAAATAGAGTAATTTTACTTTATCGTCGTCAGTCCTGGAAATCGCAATTTCCAGAAACTGCATTACATTGATTTCTTCTAACTGGATTTTAATGCATTGCGTGCAGTTAAAAAGGAAAACGGAACAAAAACATACTTACTCACCAGATTTATTGAAATATCGTGCGGATGAAACAAACGTAAATTTCACTTAACTGATGAATGAACTATACTGAGTAACTAATCGTAATGTTACTCAGCCAATCACCACGAAGTTTGCCGTCTGCATATTAATGTCCTGCCGTGAAGAGCGAAATCAGTCCTTTCATCTATTGCGTTATCTATTTCTGATACTCCATGCACTTGCCATCTGTTTATTACAGCGTCGTCCCTTCTTTGTTTTCATTGTATTTCGATTAGCTATTATTAATCAGTTTATTCGCTCTGTACACAATGCATAATCAAGACCTTCATTCAGCGATTAACGAGTGCGATATTGCGATAATAATGGATCTTTGCTCAGTCACATTTTCGCTGCGTGTAAGTCAGTCTTTGATTAAAAATTTCGAAAATTGGTCAAATTAATTAAGTTAGTGTCTTTATATTGTTGGCGCAAGTTGTCTTATCGTCTCAAATAATATATATTGTAAAATATCATATTTTTTATTTAGCTAACCTTGACCTGGAAGAATGATAAACGCATGTCTACTGATTGATATATAAATAATCTTCCGATATTGTCAGAAAACTATCGGCCTACTAAATTTATTATTTTAAGGATAAGGTCAGTGATCAAATGTGGATTTGAATATTTTAAATATATTTATAGAATAGTGAGTTTTCTAACACTAAATAGAAGCCTATTAATACAGATTATGATAAATGAAAATTGATTTAAAATTTATATCCACTCTTCCATATTTTTGACGTAGATTTTATATTTTTATATTCATTATTAGACCTATAAATATTACAAAAAATTTTACAGACATATTCCGAAAATGCAAAATAAGCATGTAATACCATTTAATTAAATATCTTTAAAAATTTTAACTTGCAAATGTATGTTGTAACGTTTCGTCAAAAAGTTTTCATACAAATTTCATAATTAATTCTACTGTAGCAACTTTATAAACTGTTGAATATAAGAAAGAGAAAAAAGGCAAAGTATATTTTGTTAAAAATATAAGATTACAAGCAATTAGTATTGATCACTTTTAAATAATTAAAGCTTATTGGTCTTATGTTTATCTTTGTTGGTTTCTTATAAATTTATAAATTTAATTTGATTATTTTGTTTATTTATTTATTATTATTATTATTATTTTTTTTTTTTTTTTAATCATTCCTTATATAAATTAATTAAAAAACTTTATATATTAAGTGAATAGAATAGAACATGTGTCAATTTTCAACAAGTATGTAATGTAAAAGAAAAGTGAATAATACAACATTGAAACTAGAGAAAATAAAAGAGAAATACTGATATTAATAATTAAGAACAATGAGAGATAAAAGGAACTCTATTTATATAATATATGCATTAAGTTTTCATCATTGGAAGAATAAAGGCAAATGTATAAAGGTTAAAAAAATAAGGATAGAAACTTTAAATAATAAGAGCAATTGCTTATCTTCAATAGATTTTAATATACAAATCTCACATTTAACAGAGATGGAAAGAAAACAACTGAATACATATGCAAATTTAACACGAATAGTATAATGTTAAATTGAATGACATTATGTTCAAAATTAAAAATTAAATAATAACGTTTTTACTCATCATATATAGAGACTACAATGATTAATAACATTTTAAAATGTAAATATTGATTTTAATTTTTGTTTTAATGTTCTTGCAACTATTTTCATTTAAATTTTATGTTTCAATTTAAACCATCACATGTTCGCAAATGATAACATTTTTCATTAATTAAAAATTTATAAGTTTATTTATGAAACAAATGATAAAAAGAAATATTTGACTGCTCGTTCAATATAATCACAAATGTGTATTTTATTACTTTTTCAAATGTTTAAATTTTTATCAAAAATTTCCTTTTATTTTTTTAAATGTATCAAGAACATGTAATTATATTCTCATATATAATAAATATTTTTATTTCTTATAACACAATCATATTTAAATATATATATATATATATATATATATATATGTGTGTGTGTGTGTGTATATGTATATATTTAATGGGCACTAATTAGAAATTAATTTTAATATTTAAATGATATAAGATGTAATTGTGTTTGCATAATGATGATATGGAATTCAAAAAGAAGGAGAAATTCACTGTCATAATAGAAATGATTGAATAATTATAACTAATTTAACTTATTGAGATCAATTGCTCAAATTAGGAATTCTTAATTAAGATAATTCACAATTAATGGTCAAATTATTTTTCATAAATTGCCTTTTTAAATTTCCCATTAAATGAATAATGAAACATTTGATATTTCAAAATTATTTATTGTATCAGTTTTAAAAATAATATGATAATAATAAAAATCAATTTACTTTAGTGTATTTTTATTTTTTTCAATAAATTAGCGCCATAAAATTAATCTTTTATGTACTTTACATGGTTATATATAAATTAATTGGAACAAAGCATTTTCTTTATTTTGTTAGAAATTAACTGGTAAATTTAATTTTACATACTTAATTGCAAAATTATTAATTACAATACGTAATTACTTTTACTTGTTTTAGAATGAATTAAAATTTTTTCATTTAATTAAACCTATGGCTCTCACAGACATGGCGTGATTTATTTTCATTGTGTTATAGATTATAATACTGGAATATTTTCAACCTGTAACAATAAAAAAAAAAGTAGTTTTATTAAACTCAGAATGTTAAATCTAAAAAAATGCAGAAAAAATAACGTTGTGATGCACATTAACAATAGAAAAATAATTCTTAATTAATTCTAAAAATGATATCGCTATTTTTTTCAATCGAAACCATTTGATTTGCGTAAATATAAATAAAATACTTTAATACTTATTCATAATAGTACAAAATATTTATAATCTCTAATATATATAATCAATTAAAAAAATAATATTCAGTTTGCAGTAGCAAAATTAAATTTCAAATGGATTCGGAGTTTAGTTATAGTGTTTGGTCATAAAAGTATAAAGAATGCATGGCATTGTTCTATCTAAAAAAAAAAAAAAAAAAAAAAATGGAAAATTAAAAATTCTAATTAGAATGTTAATATGAATAACAAGTACAGTGATTAAAATAAAAATATAAATTATATTCATATGAAGTCTGAGATTTTTTTTATAATAATTGAAACTGCTATTACTACAAATTTTCTGTTCGGTGTATCCGTAGTTGTATACTGTATTGCAATAAAGTTATATTTATTATTAAACGAAAGATTAAGCGTGAAAAAAATATTATAAATAATAAATTTAGGTAAAAGCAGATAAACATTGATATATAAAAGCACTTATTACAATCGTACTTATGTTAAACCAGAAATAAAACGTACTTCAAAGTGATATAAATATTCTGTAAATTAATCAGATTGTACGAGTCATGAAACTTGACAATTGTATAAATATTTCAAAATTTATATATTAATGTAGCTAAGGTAACAAATTGAAATTTCTCTCAACGTTTAATTTGGAATATGTAGCTTTAGTATGTTATAATATATCTACATTTGTGCAAATACACCTGAGAACAGATTTACATTCAATTATTATTACTTCATAAAGTCAGTATTAACTTTAAAAATTAATAGGATTTTCTTTTTTAAGTTTTCTTCTCATTAAACGAAATGTCAAATTTAATTTTTAACCAATTTGTATGACAATGTGTGCCTTTAAAATACAATTCTTAAAATAATAATAAATATAGTTCAAAATAAGTAAATTTTTCCTTTAACATTACCTCAAGGCGTTACAAGAATGTAATAAGTTTACAAAGCACACAAATACAAAGAATTTACAAATATTAACTACTTTACAAATTTAAATGTAAGCGTCGTAAGCGACTACAGACATTTAAGAGTTCGAGGTTCATTATTGGGCCACAGATTTGCCTGCGGACGACCAATCGCAAGCACACACAAGCACACGAATGCACGGAGCCTATGTAATTCACTCCGAATACTCGGAAAAGTGATAACTAAGAATGATAATTCAGGCCAAGCCAATACGCCATGAGCTAATGATAATTATTTTGACTTATCCAGTACTTGCGTACCATGAAGCTCGAGAGGGCATATAATATCGGTACATACGTTAATTACGACCTTATCAAAGTTCAGCATTTTATTAAAGCGTATTTATTAAGCTCAGCTGTCGAATGTTACGTCTGTCGGTCTGATTGCGCGCAAGCTCGCCAAACGCTTTTCCCAGCCCTTAATCAGTGACACTCGGCCATGAAATACTAACATCCAAGGGCCCGCGTCTGTTGACGAGCTCGTGGGGCAAGGGGAGCCTGGGCGTGAGGCCCTTCATCGAGGCCCACTGGCCGTCGCAAAGTTCGCGATACGTCAACATCGCGAGCGGCTTGCCGCCGAGGATCCCCGGAGTCTTGCACACGGCCCCGGCGTCCAACTCCCACTCCCTCGAGTTCGTAGCTGTCGTCGTATCGTTGTTGTCGTCGCCGTTATCGGCGCGCAGATGCTGCTGATATCGCTTGCGCAGCCATCCGCTGAGGTAGGAGGAGGCGCAGTCGCAGTGCCAGGGATTGCGCGATAAGCGCAGCTGCGACAGGTTGGCCGTTCGATCGAATAGGCCTTTCGGGAGGTGATTCAGGAAGTTGCTCTCCAGTTGGCTGGGCATTATTGTTCGAATTTATTTATTTCCGACATTGTTTTGTTCTTTTCTTTCGTTTTGTTTTCGTTTTGTTTTCGTTCATTTGTCGAGATTTGACTTTCGATTGGTTGATTATTTCAAATTTTAATCTTAGTGTACATGGTTCTCCATTCGGTATTAAGGAAATGGAAAATTTTACAAGTAGGAAAAGAAGCATGAAGAAAAAGTCTTAGGAAAATTCGAACGATTGTTGTAATAGATTGAAATAAAATTCGAAACGAGGATGTCTGAAGGTCAACGTTGACAAATTATCGAAATTTGTATAAGAAATTCGAATTAAGAGAGAATTAGACATACGTGTAAAGCTCTGATATAAATGATTTTGATTAAAAAAAATAAATAAATAAATAAATAAATAAATAAATAAATAAATAAATAAATAAAAAATGGAATGTTCAAATATGATAATAATTATTTATTTGAAAAATGTTACATATAATAGAAAGTAATTGTATATAATTACATGAAATAAAATATTACAAATTCACGTTGCACAAAAAGGAAGTTAATTGGAACGAAACATTTATTCTGTTCAATAAATTCAATAAATATTGAAATTTTATATATTTAAGGACTAACAAGTGAATTATATAAATTCACTTTATGACTAAACGGCACAGAGTCGAAAGAGCTTAACGAAAAATTCATAAAGCTTTCCACATTTTGCAGTATCAAGAATTCATATTCAATTAATGGAATTAATTAACCATTATTCCATTGCTAGAGAATTTAAAGCGCGTGAAAAATTTATGAACATATAGAAATATCCCCAAGAAAATCCGAACAAAATGTTAATTGCACAAATTACTCTTCTTGGTAACATTGTCGTTATAGAACGATTGCTATAAATTATTCTCGAGCGCCATAATTATACGATTGGTCAAATTAATGGAAATAACCACCAAAGAAACAAAAAGGCATTTTGCCAAATAATTATTGTAATTTCCTATAAAGTTCAACAATAGAGGTATAGGCGAGTGTGTACGTTTAAAGAGTATAATGGGCCTCGCGTGATAATTATAAAAAGAAGGTTTAGAGTTTCGAATGGTGTGCAGGAGTAACGAAAGAGAGAGAGAGTGAGAGTGAGAGTGAGTGAGAGTGAGGGGGCAGGGGGAGGAGGAGAGATTGCCGGAAAAAAGCTGACGGTGAGAGCAATGAATGTCCTGTTGTTACTCACAGCTTGCGCAGACGCGGTGTGTCCCTGAAGGAAGCAGGATGTACAAGCCGCAGGTGGTTCGAGTGTACGAATAGGGTCGTAAGATTTCCCAAGCCAGCGAGATCTTCGGCTTCGAGTAGCTGTAAACCGTTGGCATGAAGGACGAGGCGCTCGAGCGAACCCAGTGGCTGGAAAACTCCGCGACTGAATTTTTTCAAGCAATTATGGCCAAGTACGAGCTCCCTTAATGACTCGAGACCATGAAAAGCCATTGGACTTATCTGTAATGAGGCGGAGGGAAATATTTTTATTCCACATTTAATTTATTTGAACAATTGATGCTGTCGTTGCAGCCTCGTTTAAAATGATTAAGAGCTAGCATCGATATAAAAAAACAAAGTGAGAAAGAATGAAAAAATGATGGAGAAGATTGGATTATTTAGTGATAAGCCAACGATACATACGAGTCATCGTAAATAATCATTAAATTTCTGTAAAAATACTGCAGATAATCTAAAGTGTCGGGTGAACGTATAATTTATAAATTCTATTCTATTATGCAAATATAATAGACTTAATAGTCTATAAAGCGCAGCTACTTGTCTGTTTTCGCATGATAATTTAGAATGAAAAAAAAAAAAAATATTGTAATTTTAGAAATGGTAAGATTTAAATTAACCCACGACTGCAATGCATAAATTAATTTATGCAGATAATCTAATTATTTAATGGCAATTTATTAAACAATGTAATGTACATAAGAGATTGAAAAGATTTTGCACTTCGGTATGTATAATAAAAAATTAATTAGTATTATAATAACAGCAACAACAACAACAACAACAACAACAACAACAACAACAACAAAAACTGCTATGTATATACTATCCTATGAAGAAATCATAGATGCAAATCAAAATTCGACATTATATTTTAATAATGTAAATTTATTTTCTACAAAGACTTTTCAATGTTTGAGAATAACGGTCTTTCTAACAGTTCATTAAAAGTGAAATTCTATTCTCAATTCTATCATTAATTTTCTAATTGATAAAATAATTGATAATATTATAGTATAGTATAATTATATCCATTAATTATATTTCGAGAAAATTAATAGTTATTAACATTATAGTTTAATAATATTACCATTATACAGCTTGAAATTTCACATGCTTTTAAAAGTGTTTAAAAATGAAAATCTCTGGTTTCGCTTGAAAATTGCGACCTCTTATTACCCATTTCATAATAATTCTGTTTCTATTCTAGAACGAGCTTTGGATGCTTTTACAGTTACGTCTAAATTGAATTTAAATATCTAATAAAAATAAAAATACTGTGAGATGAAATTTATTTGTTTCAAATGAATAAATATGAATAAATATCATATTCTCATTATCAATTTTAATTACGTTTTTATTTCATTGAGTGTATCATTTAGTGTGTAATTAATAGTTTTTTGGTGGGCATTTATTTAAATTGCAAAAATCTCTATGTGTACGCAAAGGAAATGGTGTGTAGGAATTATCTTTTTATGCGGCATAATCATAATAAATTTAAAGAAAATTTTAAAATAAATCGAGTAAGTTTTCTTATGTTCTTACATTAGATTTTATTGTAAAAATCGACATTTTAAAAATGTTTTCTGTTCTCAAAAGCAAAAAAAAAAAAAAAAAAGAAAAAAAACAGATTATCCATCATTAATGGATTTTAAAATTATAACAAATGATTAAAATTATATATTTCGAATCGCGTTTAACAAATAATTGGCTTATGATTTTCTAAATAATGTATCTTCTTATATTAAATTAATCTTATGAGCCGATCATGACGAAACAAAGTAAGCCACATTAATAATAACGTATTCTCTTGTCAAATGCAAATAATGAAATGGCTCGCCAATTCCAAAAAATCTACAAAATACCAGAATTTTTAATTATCCGCCAATCTCTCCGCTCCGTATGGCTATATATCACCAACAAACAAAATAAGAATCGCCGAATGCCAGATTGTGAATTTCATCTTATCATCTTATCATGAATACTCAATTAAGAAAACGGATGTAATAGATGTATAATGACTTTTTCGAGCATCATTGACGATTAATTATCATGAAATTAAGAATGACTGGAATCATCGTGATTAAAATAAAGGCACAACTGGCATATAATAATATACAAACGTGTGTAATCTTATTGCTCGAGAGGTCGAGCAGTTGGAGTCGAGCGAGCGGCGCCAGCAAATTACTGGGCAAACTCTGTAGGCGATTATTGCGCAAGTTTAACTCCCTCAGTGAATTCAGGGCCGCGAATATACCCGGGGGTAATTCGCTCAGCTGATTTTCCTCGAGGCTGAGTCGCTGTAAGTTGAAGAGGCCAGTAAAAGCGTCGTCGGGTAAGTTGTTCAACTGATTTCTCGACAAGAGCAGCTCGTCTAGAGTCCTTAGGCCATCGAAGGCTGCGGAAGCCAAGGTAGAAATCCGATTTGCGGAGAGGTCCAAGATCGCCAGGGCAGTATTAAAGCTGAACAGATTCTCAGGCAGCTTGCGTAATTTATTTGAGGATAGATCGCTGAAAGAAGTTTAGGAAGCGAGGATCGAGATATTTTTATGTGACGAGCAATACGTATGGCTCATCTTTTTTTCATCGATCTTCGATTTTAAAAATCGTTAGTTTGAAATTTAAATTCTATTAAGTTACTTCCTTAATTTTACGGACTAAATCAAATGAGTGACGCTATCTGAAAATAATCGTTTGAATCAATCTCATTCCTTATTTAGTAAGCTAATTGTTCCTTTTACGCAGAATATCGTAAATTTTATACGAGATTTGAAAAGTATTATTTTAACTCTAACTCTCTAATCTCTAATAAGCGAGCTTTAATCCTCTTTGAATATCTTATGACTTTTAACTACTAGTATAAATAGCTATAGTGTAATATGTGTGTGCGTGCGTGCGTGCGTGCGTGCGTGCGTGCGCGTGTGCGCGCGTGTGCGCGTGTTCATATAAAGTAACAAGAGATAAATTGAAAATAGTTGAGTTGGCCAAATTAAATTATCCTTAGTTACGATTAATGTATCAAAGGATAAACAATTTCGTGAATAATATTTTAATTCGTCACATATCATTTAACACATATCAATTGAAAACATACAGTATTTCCAAATTCCGTAAGCGAATCAACTGATTTTTATCCAGTTCTCTCAGATGGTTATTACTCAGTCTCACGTGGGTTACATTGTGCAGTTGATAAAATAAACTAATCGGTAAATGTTCGATTGCATTGTGATTGATATCTCTGTAAGAATTAAGAAAAAATTGACAATTCGCAATGATTATAATATATTTTAATTTGAACTTACAAGTAAATCAATCGATTCAGATAATTAAAAGCTGCTTTATGTAGAGCCGTAAGTTGGTTATTACTTAAGTCTCTAATAACATAATGAAAATTAGATTTTTTAATATTATTTTTTCAAATAAATCTCCATGCTTAATTTATTACAAATAGGTTGACTTTCAAGTTACCAATAATTATATTCTCGATACTGCAAGTATTTTGAGAATATATTATTTCAGTATGTATAATATATATAAGGAAATTAATATATCAATTACAACCTTTCGTGCTCGTGATTTTGCGAAAAAGCAATTAAAAGAATAAATTAATTCTTTAATAATTTTTTCTCCTCCAAGTAACGAACAATATATATTATAATGCATTATGCAAAAGATTATATATTTATCAGCACTAATAAATAAATTAAACCCAGTAAAATGTTCACGATTGATTTATTATTAACTATCATTGAATAAAATAAAATGCTTAAGATTATTTTAAACTGATATTTATAAATTACAATTAAATATCAATTAAATAATTAAAAATCATTTAGGTTGCATTACTTATAATATGACAAAAAGTTTATTTTATTTTATTTTATTTATTTATTTTTTTTTTGTTTGATAATTATAGGAGGTAACTATAAAATAAAATTAACTTTTATTTTTATTTTTATATTTATTGCCTACTCTTCGAAGTATATAAAGTAACAATATAATTTATTTATATTTTACAATAAATTTGTCATATTAAAAATATGCTGGAAAACTTAAAGGGAAAGAAAATATATAAGGGAAGAGTTTAAATTGTATTTATGTAGTGCTTTGTGCTTGCGATTCTGCTTACTATGAGTGAAATGAAGACAAAATTAATTTTTTTACTAGATTTTTGTTATTATGCTAAGATTATTATTCATCGCAAGAACATAAGTATCATTGCAAACTGCAAGTTGTGGTAAATTATTATGTAAATACATTTCACTAACTTCGCTCGAGCACTTTCTAATATATTTTAGGACATACAAAACTATACTCGTTTCTTACAAAATTTATAAAATCGTGGCTGAATCGGTAAATTTAGTAAATGGTGAAAATGGCTCTTTATTATGTTATAAAATCGTATTCTCATCTACGACTGTTAAAAGCAGTGAAAGCACCAGAATATTTTGAATGACCAAATAATTTAATAGCTACTCGTTTTCCAAAGTAATAATTATAATCCATAGCTTATTTTATTATCCCATTGTCCCGTTATCCCATTCTCGGGACGAATATCCTAACGAATATCCTTCAAACCGGCGGAATAATAATACAGAGAATACTTTCAGCGCGTCGACTCATCAGCCACGATACTCAATATAATGAATTATCAGCTCGTAAGCTCCTGACAGCAACTTGCAATTTCAAAACATCCTTGGGCACCAGCTGAGTGGCCGGCAGATCTGCCAGATCTAATCCACAGCAAGACAAGGACTTGGTTTCCATCCGACACTTGCACGGACCCTCTGCGCACACGTCCCACTTCTCGCTGGCACCACTAATCTGCCAAACTGCAATGCCCATTCCAATTTAACCTTTTAAAATCCACTGCCCTCCTCCCCTCCCCCCACCGGCGCCACCACCACCGCCGCCGCCGCCGCCGTCGCCGCCGCCGCCGCGCGCCCCTTACGTCCGTACCTGGCTGCTCGATGGCCCTCAACCTCCGCTCGAGACTCGCCGTCGCCGCCGCCGCCGCGCGCCCCTTACGTCCGTACCTGGCTGCTCGATGGCCCTCAACCTCCGCTCGAGACTCGAGACTCTGCTCTGCAGATCATCGACCAGCGTCCGGTCGACGACCGCGTACGAGTTATCGGACGACTCCCCCTGGCCGCCCCACGCCCCTGACAATGCGACGAGGCACAGCAATGCGATCTTCGGCATCGTGTTCTACCTTAGCTCTTGTTTGGCCGCTTTGCGCGAAGCCAGCGAAACGAGATGAAACTAACGACTGCCCGAGCCCGGGGAGACGCTACGTACAACTGCGTCCATTATTAATTCGACAGACAGCCGGCGATATTAAAACGGATGCAAGGGATGCAATTGCTGGACAATGCTAATGCCATTGGTCTGCTTGAATATTGCCCTTGCTAGTGCTCAGCTTAATTGTTTAGTGTTACGCCGCTGTATATTCCTGCTCTTTAAATGCAATGGCTTCTCGAACTTAATTATTCATCATTGCTCTCCTTATGCAAAACACTATAAAAAAAAAATAATAATAATAATAATAATAATAAAAAGAAGAAAAAAAACGTTGGGTTATGCGGCGTTGATGATCTCTCTGAATATGCAGTGAAGTATGTTATTGAGAGGAATGAGCGAATTGGAATTGTAATGAAAGTTCCATGTCACGGCAAGAGATACATATTATTATATCGCCATCTCAACAATTACGCCCCCTCAATTGTACTCCCGAATCATTAGGCTATAAAAATCCGTATTCGAGAATAATTCTCATTGGGTATTTGCGTCGAGGGCAATTGCCAGACGATAGATTAACGCCAAATAAATAATCTATAAAAGGAGATGCGTGAAAAGGAAGTTGTTTACGACTATTCGAATTACAAATTATTATGTGCATGTGAAATGCTTACCCTTCGATGTAGCAAAAATATGTTAAAAATATTGGAAACGATTAAAAAGAAAGAAAAAGAAAAGCACAATATATGGATAATAATGATGGTAAAGAATTATTGGATATTCTCTTAGAGGTTAGTGATTTTAAAAATAATATATTATTGTGATAAAACAGGGCTCTGATAAATAATGATTACGTACAAATGAAATAGCAAGTTACCGTGAATTCTAATCTAATCGTCATCTTAACTTAGCTTAAGTACATATTATTAAATAAGTGTTGTCATTATTGTCGGCAACAAGAATCAAATAATTATATTAGCATGCAATGGCAATAAATATTCATTTTTTTTTTTTTTTTTTTGTTTTTCAATGCACTATTAATTTATGAATTATAAAATAACGAATAATATATATATATATATATATATATATATATATATGACGTTGACAATGATGAAAATTAACGTTTAACTAAAACAATGGGGAAATCGTCGGAGCGATATGTCATCGCAGAGCTGTTAAAGCATCAAAATATGGTTTATAAATATTGATTTTTTCATTCGTTTTCAAAAATATTCGTTCATATGCTATCGAACAACTAATTGTCAAGTAATAAATTTCTGATAATAAAATGGAAAATCACCTTTTGTCACATTAATTTGCGTTAAATTTTAATCCAGTATTTTCATGAATTATATTATCAAGTGCTAATGATCTAATATCCGAGTAGAATATTTTCGTATAGAATTTCAATAGAATTCAATAATTCAAAACAATTTAAAACTTTATTCATCTTGATTAAGGGAACGTAATAGATACAATTAATTTCCTCTTCAAATACATACACATAGATTGGAAATGAATTCGTCATGAATTATATATATATATATATATATATATATATATATATTATTTATACATTTTTTGCTACGATAAGGTCCTATTACAATTAAATTTTTATTTTACCGTTTCATATAATCTACAAAGTAAAATGGAATTACAGAACATAAGCTTAAACATCAGAATTTATTATAAATAGGATGGAAATGTACGGTAAATGAAGTTACTTTCTTATTGTAATTATTGGAATGAAACGTTGTAAGAAAGATTTTATAATATACGCTTGACAATACGCACTGTTACATCATCAACCAAATCTGTGTAAATATAATTATTAAATTAACATTAAACTGCAATAAGAACTGTAATAATTGTCAATTATTTCACATTAATCGAATTTTCATTCGTATTTCCAATAATTGATATCATTGTTTGTTAGGAATTGATTTTATTAAATTGGTAATTTTAATAATTTTCGACTAAATATAATGATGTCAGCTTGATGTAAATGTGTGTAAAAATATTAACAACTTAATATTTGCAACAGAATTGATAATAATTATTCAGCTGTTTATTATTATTATTATTGTTGTTGTTGTTGTTGTTGTTGTTGTTGTTGTTGTTATTATTATTAAGATTTGAATAACAAAATTAATTTTTTAGTACTAAATTATTGAATTTCATTTGCAGTACTTGGAAAAAGTTATTTTCTTTATTTTCAATATAAATGTTTCAAACGATTCGACGCTAAAATTGTAAAAGTTAATTTTATCTTGAACTCTTTTTTACATAACAATACTTTGTTTACAAGTATTAGCTTATAAGTTCTAGTAATATCATTTTTATATATCATTTATTTAAAAAAATAGTACAATGATCAAACACATTAATTTTTATTTAAAATGTTATTACATTGGGAACCTGTGCTCGTTGTTTAAATATTGGAAAAATAATAACGAAGATTATAAAATTTTACGAAAACTGAAATGACTGTACATTGTATGTTTTTTTTTTTTTTTTTTATTAAATATTATATAAAGTTTTAAAAGCGCAATCCATACTTAAGCTAAAGTTTTGCCTTTAACCGCGACGATGAAAATATAACACGTGATAGAAATTATTACATCATTTTTATTTTCTGCAGTTTTAACTTTTTATAACTAGTTGATTTTCGTCTTAAATTTTCTCATAATCTTGATGGAAAAAGTTTCACCGAATAGAAATTTGTGGAAAGGCGCTACTATAACTACAATTCCTAAATTTATAATCGTTTTACATAAAAATTTTTACCGGCAACAGTTTATACGGAAACTGTTATCTCCCATATTTAATTATATCGATGAAAGTGTATTGTCAATAAACTTTAAAGGATTTAGTTTATACATTTTAAGATCATTCTAGCATTTAATCAACGCGATTAAATATTATGTTTCACCTCGTAATGCAAATACTGAGAGAATCTTTGTTATCACTAATGTCATATCCGTGGTCGAGATCCTGAATAATGCATAACCTTGAAAATGTTGATTTTGCAGTAAATGGAAGCTGTGGCCGATTGTTCTATAGAGCTCGAGTTAGTAAATTTTTAAGTTATTTATGTATTTGTTAAATATTACCACATTCTCTAATTTTACTGCATGGTAAGTAAATATTATAACTTAATAATTTGAAAATTAAAAGATCAAAGTTTTTTGTCATGCTAGCGATAACGATAATAATCAATAATAATAAAACTATTTATTTATCGATGTAAAATAACATAATTTTTTCAAATATTCAGACATTAGAATCGGCCTATTTTATTTTAGAAATATTTTAGAAATTCTTTTTTCATAATTTAATATTAAACAAATAGGAGTCCCGTAATAAATATACAATTTAATATAATGATAATAGAACTTGATAAAGGATTTTTGTATTATACAATCATTATAAAACGCGTACAGGAATTATTAATTAATTTCAAACCTCAAAATTTTATTTCACTTTATTTTACAATTAGTGAGAAAGCAAAGATGTACTGGTGAAACGTAATTATTATAATACGCTCAAATGATTTTGACATAAGTTAATAAAGGAAAGGTACCAAAATGAGATGATAATATATCACTTGATTAATTATAAATATTTCTTTATTACATACGTAATAAAGAGTAAAATAAGTGAGAGCATCTGACTGCAAGCAAATCAACTAAATAGTATATTTACTGGATTTTTTAATATAATTTATTGTAGACTGAGCTAATGATGTCACACATTGTGTGTGTCATATAATAATATAACATTTTCATATGATTATAAATATACGGATTTGTCTGTTTGTGTTCGTGTGTATTTTCATGCGCAGTTCTGTGTACTTATTTAGGAACATGTAATAGTGCATACACACACGCGCGCACACGCGCGCGCGCGCGCACACACACACACACACATATATATATATATATATACAATTGAAAATTGCACATAAGCTGAAAAATATTGCATCAAAAAGTATATGCATTCGTTAAAAAATTGAGGTCCAATGCAATACAGAATTGGAATGGTGAATTGGTCGATCAAAACGATTATAATCTGACTCCATCGGATCCAGGGCATTCACCTTTACTTTTTACAGCTAATTCTGAAAATAAAATGTAAATATACTTAATCGTGTAATTTAATGGTTTTAGTGCTTTGCGTAGTATTAATGTCTCATAAAGCAATATTCTAATTAAGCATATTCTAAACTATAGAGGCTTAAGAGATCTTTGAGCTTTTTGAGCTTTAAGAGCCAAAATTCTTATCGTCGAGGCTTTAGCCTTCATCCGATTTATTAGCCACGATATTAAACATAACTATAGGCGCTGAATTTTTTTTTTTTTTTTTTATAAATTAATATATAAATAACTATCGTCGAACGTTCGCGTCAATAGCATTAGCAAGCACACGTATATCTTAAGCCTTGAATGGAGTAATCAACGAAGCAGATCCTACTTTAATCAATCGGCCATAAATTGTCAAATTAGCATTAAACTTACTTGTTCCCATTTCGCAGTTGTGTGTGTCGAGCACGCATTGGTTCCCAAAGGTTCTTGGCTTGAACGTAGCATTGTTGGGATCGTGGGCGCAAATGGGATCGTAACTCGTAGGACACATCTTCATGCACTCCTTCTTCGCCTTCTTTGCCTCCTTGGCTTTCTGTATCGCCTCTTTGACGTCCTTCGACGCAGTCACCGCAGGCTTCGCCGTCGTCGACTTCTCCGATGGTCCGGCCTCGATGCTACTGATCCCACAGACCAGAAGAATAACTAAACCAGATCGATCGCATTGAATTGTCCATAGAGATTAATGCGAGGAGGATTGACAGAATTTAGAGTTAAAGCATATATTAATATTTGGACATGTGACTTATCGAAGAAATTATTGCCAATTTGAAGGCATTTTTACAACGTACTTGACACAGCTGCACCTAATTTTAGAAGAGCAAAGATATAAACGAATGGGATATTCATCAGCCGCAGTGAAATTATAAGACTCGAAAGAGGATTGAAGAAATTTATTATTTCACTTTCTTTTTTCTTTTTTTTCTTTCTTTTTTTTTTCATTATTTTTTTCTCTTTATTGTGATTTTTTTTTCTTGTTTTTGCTTTTTTAACGTATTTCACAAGGTCCCACGTGCGTCGGGAGGATGTTAATTTTATGTAGGCTTACATCAATGGCCTTGAGAAGACTCGGACAGGATAATATTTTATTTGGTTTTAAACGTGAGATAGAATTTTCTCGGGATAGACGCCTATGTATATGGGCGCACGCACCAAAAAATGAATATGTTGTCCTTTTACGGAGGTAAAATTATACAAATTATACTTAAAAGTACAACTCTGAACCGTTCGTATGATAATTGATTTTGAAACATTTTTTTCAGATAATTCTTATAACGTAATTTTTTATGACGATACACTCATAAAAGTTTTCGAGTGTTGTATTTTCTAAAATAACAACTGATAATCTTATTACTTTACCTACCCAATCCGTAATCGAAATTATTATTAATTAGACTTATATTAATATTTGTTAATGCATTCTTATCAAATTCAAATTCAATATAAAATGTCGGAAAAAACAATGAACAAGATATAATTTATAACCATCTATTTATTATTATTTTTTTATTATCATTATCCTTTCAATGTAAATTAATTCCACCGTAAATCAATGAAAATTTGTAAAAAAAAAAAAAAAAAAAAAAAAAAAAAAAAAAATCGAGACAAGCTCGAACCAAATAATTAATCAAAAACAATTTAAAAGTAATTATGTAGTATTATTCCATCGTTGTCTGTTTCATTTAAGAAACGTTACGAGAGAGAGGGAGATAAAATATAAAGCAAATATACCTCCGAACGCTATAACCAGCTTCATGTTGACTGTGTGTTGTGCTTACTGAAATAATCTAACAAAACAAAAACACACTCCAACTTATATCTGTTGTCAATTTGTCTCTGGCGTTATCGAAAGAAGACTGGATTCTGCGAAGCTCTATCGCGGCTTTTATAAGCATAAGACTGTTGGATTGTCCGGTCCCCTACCTCTCTTACTCGACACGGGCCACTGAGAAATGCATGAAGCAGGTGAGTGCTAAAGCGAGTTAACACGAGTTATCACTGGTTTTATGGACCTCATTGAAGGGTTTAGCTATACAATTCGTAAACACCCAGTCATTTGTGCACGTAATGCCTTCCTGCTGTCGGTAGCCAATGAAATATGCTAAATAGAGTTTCGTTGAAAAACACTTTTCTATTTGAATCGCGTGTACCGTACGAGCATCGTCATGATAATAAGCAATAAAGTTTATTGACTCGCTTAATTTGCAAAGCGTTGAAGGAGACGTTGATTATTGTTTTTTTTTTCTCATCTGCCATGTGATTGGAAAATATTATTGCAATTCAAAGGTTATAAGGCACACAGCTGTGCTTTTATTTTATGTGCTATTAATTAGCTTTAATTTTAAATGTGCGATTAAATTTTATTTTGTTTTAAGGAAATTAAAAATTACTTTGATAAACCGGAGATTGTTCATATGTGCACGAAGAGCGTTAAATGTCCAATTAAAGATACACTTTTTCATACGTATTATTCTAATGTTTAAAACAAATAAATAGCAATATTTTATTACAATGGAATTGAATTGTATCATGCGCATTTATTAAATAATTTAATATAAGTATTGAATTTTTCAATAAATTTTGACATGTAGATTTAGTAACAACTTAGGAAAATTATATATTTCAATTTCTCGATAAATTTTGAAATACATCTATCTTACTTCAATTTTACGAGGATATTTAATCAATTTTATTTATATTTTTTATTATAAAATTTATGATATTAAAAATTATCGAGGGCATTACCAATAATTAAAATAATTATAGTAATTTTAAATTAAATTTTTTTTTTTTTTTTTTTTTTTTTAATTCGTTATACTTTCTTATGAGCATATGCATTTTAATAATAAAAAAAAATCTTACGAAGTAATAAAAACTACAATATAAAGGCATTGTTCTTCTGCATTGTTGTTGGGCAAAATACATAGTAAAGTATGATAAATACAAGGGCGTATAATAAACTTTATATGAATTAACTATAATTAATAGTAAAAAAGAAACACTAATAATTTAAAATGCGCGTGTAAAAATTAAGAAAAATAAATAAACGTTTGTTGCTGAAATCATTACAAAGAGCTGACATGATGAAAATGATGACATGCTTGAAGATTAGTATTTATTTGTGCCGAGAATCATTAAAATGTATTAGCTCTCATGCGCTAACAATTTTCATATCTATTCATCAAGGGGCACCGAAAGAGATTGAATTGCCCTTTATTAATTTATTGCGGAGAACTAGATCTCACTGTGTCTGGATTACGACATTAACTAATAGTAATTTTGAGAATCACTGGAATCTAGATTCTTAATTTTTTCCTTCCGAGTTACATCAACGTTAAAGAAATCATGTCTTTATTATTTTTAAGGCGCATAAGTAAGAAATACATATACTGTGTTAAATTATAAAAATTTATCATGTTTAAAGTCTGCAAATACTAAAATAGACTAAAATAAAAGTAATTTTATATTTTTAATAATTTAAGATGAAAATCACATACGAGATATTAATATTAGAGCCGATGTATGTTGCCATTAAAGATTACTGATGAAAATTTACGTTTATTAAACTTGTAAAATCTTTATTATTATGAAGTAAACAAAAGAATATAAACCGATTAAATAGGACCGTACTTTAACAAAACAAAACAAAACAAAACAAAACAACAACAACAACAAAAAAAACAAAAAAAAAATTTAATCTCTCGTTAGATTGGGACGTGAATTCTTACTCAAATAAACTAGTAAAAATTCGATTTGCTTGTCTTATAAATCAAAAAATTGTTACGTATGTAATTGTCTACGAGGTCGTTCCAGATTGTGATCACTGAGGAAGTCACTTACCTTGTACGAACACTTTACCACTTGCATTGTTATTGTACGTTATTTTTTAGTGCTTTTTACATAAATTTACGGCTCATGAAGACAAAGAAGAAAAAAAAACAATTACTTTTGTTCCACCGGGTTTTATCAACGCATAAATAAAACGTTATAAGGCGCGTGTAATATTTTTTCCCTTTCGAAAAATTTTATTAAATATTTTATTTCTAAAACGACATTATCACCATCAAATGCGAATGAATAAATAATCAAATAAATAAAGCGAACGTATAAATATAACTGTAATAATGGCCTCTCATCTTCTTCTACGTCGGTTCCCCCCACTTTGCCTTTGCACGGCCTCTTCTTCGGCAACATAAGCCTTAAATAGTCGTGCATAATCGCTCCACGTGTCATTGCTCATTAATAATTTGCTTCTTTTAATTCGACAAGCAGCATCCTTACACGGAGCATTGCTATTCGTGTCGTTTCTGTTCATGTTCTTGTAGTGCTCGATCGATCTCGTAACGAGCGATTCCAACAAGTGTAATTGTTCGGTCGGAAAATTTGCTGCAAATATTATGTAAAAATTAGATGAATCATTATAATATGCGTATTAATATTATTATTATTTTGTTCCTGTACGATTAAGACAAAAACATATTCTTATTAAGAAATCTCATTGTCAGCGTCGATCATTGAAAGCTAATAATTACAAAAAGGAATAAGAAACTTTGTTCGGTAAAAAAAAAAAAAATTATGAGCTTCAATGATAATGTTAACATTAACTTTAATTTATTCATAATCTTAAGTTTGTATTTAATAAGGGAAATTAGTACTTGAATGAATTATCGCCTATTATTTATTAATTAGCGGTACATTAAAAAGCAATATGAATAAACTCCTCCTGTTTGCGAGACTTTACGGAGAAGTTTACGGGAATTATGAATTTTTTGTATAAAACAATAAACAATAAATCATTAAGTAATAATAAGTCTTTGAAAAAATACTTTTCGAGCGTCTAATTTTTACCGACATATAAATTCTACTTACGTTGTTCCATAAATTTGCGTGATATATCATCAACAGCGTGTTTTTTGTGTATAAGTTTCGGTATAAATATCAATAGACAAATAACGGCAATAAATTTGACGATTATCTTAAAGACAATAAGTTTCAGAACAATCTTGATCAAGGTGAAGGCGTCAATTTTCAAGGAGATTGGCCAGCTGAAATCAATAGCGGGAAGGAAGGTAAAAGGGAAGAAGTCAGGTAACGGATGAGATGTGCTGTAAGTGGCCTGTAACGATCCTAGCCCTAAAACGTTAAAAATTCTGTTTATTATTATTATTATTATTATTATTATTATTATTATTATTATTATTATTTCTTCTCTTCTTCTGAAATGTGAAATTTATGGCGATTGTGTTAATGCAAAGCGTATATTCAGCATTAATTTATTCGCACCAGAGCATCTACGTGTTGTTACTTTTATCTTTTTGTACTGTTACACTAACCTTGAATGTTTTTCATATAAATATCACCGTATATACATAATACATAATACATAATACATAATACATAATACATAATACATAATACATTATACATTATACATTATACATTATACATTATACATAGGGTATACAGGAACTTTTAATCAAAGTAATTGTATTTTACATGCAGTTTGATATATTTCACAAAGATATTGCTCATATTATTTAATATAATATCGGCAAGTATTAATCGGACAATATGATTTACACATCATTAATCGCTTATGCTTCTTCTCATATAGAAGTAATTAATAATTTATTAATTTTCAAAAACCACAGCGAATGTAAAATGTGTTATCGCTATCTAATTAAAAAGATAAAAGACTAAAAGGTCGAACATATATCACAAATTATTCAAGCATAAAATAAACAGCAAAGAGAATTTAATATTTTTGTGACAATCAAGTAACTGCTAATTCAATATTATCAAATAAGTAATATATTGAACTTATCATTATACGTAAATATCTTAGACAAAATATAATATTCAATTTTAATAAAGTGATACAATGTATGAAAATATTCATTTCGTTTGTACGAAGAGAAAATTTACTTGAAATAATATATGTTTCAATCGACGCAACATCAATTATCTATTAATACTTAAAAATTATTTTAACTGATATTTGAAAACCAAAGAAAAACAAAAAAAAAAAAAACAACTCAAATACATAAATATATGTAATTAATGAGTGGATATAAATTAGCCAATTTATTTTTTAACAGCAATGATAATGTATAAATAAATAAAACTATTTAATTCAAAATGGTATATAATTGTTTAAAGATAATTTCGATGATTCCTAATCCAATTGTCTTTTCAAAATTTATAGGATTAACCGAGCAGAGGTTTTCATTTTATTACAATTCTACTCTGAAAGATGGTTTAGATTTTAAAAAAAAAAAAAAAAAAAAAAAAAAAAAAAAAAAAAAAAAAAAAAAAAAAAAAACGAAAATTAAATCGATTTTTTATTTAAGTAAATCTTACAATATTAAAATATTAAAATTGTATTAAATGAAGATATACAAAAATCATATTATTAAAGATATCAAATATTTTCACAATTAGTAAATAACATAAATTTCTTATTACGAATTAATTAATAATTTTTTTTTTTTTTTTAATTTATTATTTTACCGTGATTGATAATAATGTATTATTGATAGGAATTAATTTTATTAATAAATCTTATTAGAACAAATAAATTTCTCCGAATTGTTTAGCGATTAAAATAATTTTCTATTACTAGAACTATTAAACAAAAAGTATTGCTTTTATTATGCATTTACTTTTTTTTATTAAAAAATCTATTCTATACTGAAAAAGTATTTGTTTATATTACAATTTAAATATTTTAATGTATGTATAAAAATAATTGTGTAAAAGTAATTATATCGTATTATAGGAAAACAGCAAGAAATTAGAAAAGAAAAAGACTATTTTTCTGTGTTCTTATATAGAAGAGGCATATTTATTATTTAAAGGGTATTCATTTTAAATAACATTGCATAGATAGTAATGATATGAATAATTTTAAATAACGAAATTTTTTTAAAATACAATAGTTCGATCTATATATCTTATATTATTTCTTCATCCAATATCAAAATACTTTTATATATGTACGTATTTGTTTGAAATTAATTATATATTTTTGAAATATTGATATGTATAAAATTATTTGATAATCTTTTGATTCTAAATATTATTATTAATTATATATATATATATATATATATATATATGTGTGTGTGTGTGTGTAAACTTTATTATAGAATAATTCTCCTCAAAAAATCCTCAAACAAACATAAATAAATACAATGATATACTCTGCATCAATGTGTTATTAACATAATGACTTTTTTTTTTAAATTGATACTATTTAATTTGTAAAAATAAAAAAATAGTTTCATAATTATCCATTATTTACTGCCTATTTTTTTTTTTTTTATGTATTCAACATATCTTTTTTTTATTATATAATAAAATGATATAGAAATTTGAATGCATATATATATATATATATATATTTTTTTCTCCTTTTTATAAAGAATTAATAGTATTCAATGAAATCAAATAAAATTGCAATCTGTAAAGAATGTAATAATAATTTTAATTAATCTTACATTTCCCTAATATTTCGTAACTACACTAATAATTTGTATCGTGTTTTAGACTTTTGCATGATTTAACGTAAATCAATGAATAAATTGGATTAGTTACAATGTTATCTCTACCGATATCAATCACTAGAATAAATCGAGTGATTCAGGATTTCATGAAATACCAATTTATAATGTCTAACACGAATTAAAATGCAAAAATTATTAAGAATTATTCCTCGTGTGCATTGAACTGCACGATATATGAACTAAAAAATATACAATTGCGTGCGTCGTAATATATTGTCTTTGCATCTTATCTACTTGAGTTTCGCGTATTAGAGTATAATTGAAAAGCAAATTCCAGCATTGTATTCCAGATTTAAGCGCTCAATGTTCTCCATAAACATACTGCAAAGAAAAACCAAATTCACGAGAGCATACGATACCTCTTCTCTCACCTTGCTGCGACGTTCCATACGCCAGATAAGGATGACCGCTCGATGATGAATACGACGGAGGTCCATACGAATGCACATTCGTAACTTTGTATTTATTGTTAGGCAGTCCGTACGCACCGTAAGAATCGTAGTTAAACTCGGTTCCGTAAGGCACTTGATGCGGTTCTTCGTAAGATAAATCGATCGACGGCACAATGTATGATTTAGCTGGTACGTCGTAAGTATTTCCACTATAGGAGATCCGTGATATCTTGGATTCCGTCTCTGGAGCTTCAAAGCCAAGATAATTAGTGATTTTTCACCTCTCCATCCAATATTTCAATAATGCGCTACCTTTAACATTTCTTTTTTTTCTATTAAAAATACCGATACAGCGACCAACAGAAAAAGAAACAAAAATAAAAAAGCAAACAAAGTAAAACAGAATAATTGTACTCGTAAAAAGGAAATACTTGTCGTTTAAAATATCACTTAAAATATTTCATAATCTCTTACGAAAACCTTAGTTCCCACAATATTCGAGTTCGTCACTTGAAATTTTCTCTCAAGGCTATTAATATTTTCTTTAAACAAGAATTTCATCATAAAATACGTTGACGTATGTAAGCATGTGCGCGGCAAAATTTTTTAAAATAGTCAAATAATGGATGAACGTACCGTGTGGATTGTTGCTACTGCCACTGCTACTGTTACTATTATTATTATGAGTATCCTCGGCACGATAAACGGGTCGAGGAACATAGTCTTGCTTCACATCTTCTTTCATCGTGTGCGAATAATCAAGAGCATCGAGATAACTGTCTTTTGTTGCTGCTGATAAGCTGACTATTTCGCCTTTATTTCGTGACTGAATATTATTACGAGGAAAGATTATGGGATCAGAGGGGGAACCTGGACGGCCATCCGTCTTGACTTTCAGCGAAGATTCAACGTTCAATGAGATTTCGGATATGGTTTGTGGAGGAATATTCTTACTAACATCATCGTAATTACTTCTAGCCTCCATTTGCAAATGAGAGGAGTCACTAGATGGCCAGAAAGTTGAATTGGTATCGTCCGAGATGGTGAGGACCGACCGGGCACCGACTGCTATTATCAGTAGTACGACTGACAATAAATATGATGCGATTACGTAATTTCTCATGGTTCTGAAAATATTTCAATTGTTTTAAAGATTATAAGTATATTGATAAGCACATTGTATGTTTCAATGAAATGATTTTACTCTTGTTTTGTCGCGAGAGTAGACGATAAATGATTATTATTGGTAACAAAATTATATCACTTTCGATAGTTTATAATTGTTTCTACATTATTATTCACTGTCTAATGGGCGGAGGGGGATGGTGTGAAAAAAAATTAAGGTATCGAATAATCTTTTATCTTTACAATTTGCATAAGGAACTTCTATCGTGCAATTTTCGCAAAATTACGAGATAAGTTTCACATAAATTGTTGCAAACGAAGAAGCAATTATGATCTATGAATATTACAATTAATATGTCAAGTTAATATTACAATATAAGGAATAAATAATACTAAAAGTAAACATAAGTATATAAATGTAAATCGATAAAATGAAATGTAGGTCTCTTAAAGCATCTAGTAATCAACATCTAAATTGTGTTGAAAAACAAGGTCAGTGCTTACTTCCGTTGGAATACGAAATCGGCAACTTTATATGAATACTGATGAAAAATTTGCGCGCTCGCGGCCTTTTACTTTAAACTTACGAACGATAGATATGCTAATTATTATAAAATAATTATTATAAATTATATGTTCGATTGAATGTATCTTTTTAAAATGTTATTCTTAATGCATATTAAATTTTCAAGGTTATCCCTGTTAAAGTCAATTAAATTCATTTAACATATAAGACAATATTTTATAATTACAATATGTTTGATAATTGTGAATAAAAATTGCTCGATTCCTATATATTGTTGATATTAATTTCGACAAGTCTCTTGACACATTCACGAAACAAATTAAAATGAAAATATCTGATTGCTCATTATGTATTTAAAAATTATTATTACCATTATTCCAATGAAATAAAAATCTTAGTTACGAGCTTAACAGTACGAATTATAATTTAAATAAATAATTTATTTAAAAAAAAAAAAAGAAAAAAAAAAAAAAGAATAAGAAAAATATATATTACTTCCAATTGAAAATCTTGACCGAGTCAGAGTCGATCGAGGGTCTTGATCTGTGTATTATTAAGAAAATTTTTCTAATAATTGTTATTTCAAGATGCAACTTTCGAATTTCTCCCTTTCAAACGAAATAACGAGTACAAACTATCTCGGCGATATTACATATGATAAAAATTTATATCTTAACTTATATTTGATAAAACTTTGCGATGCACGTATAGGAAAGGAAAGTCGTTATAAAATAGTTTTATGCCAAAGTTAAAATGTTCGACTTCGACAGGGACTTGGATTGGATTTCCCACAAGTTTATTGAAAATGAAAAAGTTAATTCAAGTCGATGTAAGTAGATTTTATCGTAAAAAAAAAAAAAAAAAGAGTGACAAAAAAAAAAGGGAAAGAAAGAAAGAAAAAGGAGCTAGTTTATCTTATAAGATTATATCTTGTAATAAACAGAGTAGGAACGAGCAAAGGTGAACAAAAAGTCACTTAATTACATCGAGCTCCTAGGTATCTTCTGCGAATTCAATCTGACAATGACGAGAACTCACCTCTTTTCTTCTGAAACGAAATGACGATCCTCGATTGCGCTTCACGCCAATACGCAACAGTGAAGAAAAAAAAAGCGCATGGAAGAGGTGAGAAACCTCTACCACCGTGTCCCTCTACTCTTCGTCCCGCGATTGTTGGTACCACCGACCCAAGGCCTTGGAGGCTGCACTGGCACCACACGCCGTACAACGAACCTTGCGAAGGTCAAGAAAAACTTATCGTTGTCCCATGATGTTGCTCCTTGACACTTGCCCACGACTCTCGCACGCCCGCGATATATAAAAAAAGTCACGGTCAGTGCCGCTGACTATATACTCGTTTCGGCGGTAGGGGAACTTTACTAGGTTACTATTTCACGCTCGCCATACCACCGAAATATGTTCGTGCACGATTACCAGTTGATTGACGGGGCCATTGTTCCGCGTTACTTTCACTAAGGCGCCGCTTCATTTTCTTCCTCGCATTGCGAAAATTGCGAAAATTGGCCCGAGAATTGCGACAGGGGCTTATCGATTAATTCGGATCTGGCTTCGCTCCATCATGAATTTTACTATCTAATCCGCTTAAATGTAATTGTATCGCATTTTCCGAGAGGTTATTTCGAGCAAAAATTAGCAGAATATCGACTTATCGGTAAACTCAATGTGCATTGTAGTTGCATTAGAGCAAAAAAGGGTCATTATTACACAAAATGTTAATTTCTCTCTTGAAAAATTCAAGTGTCGTTGTATTATCATCTTTTTTTTTTCTTTTCTTTGTTTTTTCTTTTCTTTTTTTTTTTTTTTTTTCATTTATTAAAGCACCGTTGCAAAGACGTGATGCATGTATATTATGAAATTTTAATTAGAATTTGTTATTATTAAGTGGTAGACTTGATCATAAATAGACTTGACTAACGATATTCATTGGTAATTCCTTAAAAATATCCTTTTTAATAAAGAAAATGATTTTGATGCTCGTTCGTTAAATATTATGCGTGCTATGAAATGATGAAAAATCCAAAGTTACGAAAAGAAATTAGCGTAATAATGTTGTAATTATCAAAAATACTGCTATTTTCGAGAACTCTGCGTCAGAATGAAATAGCATTAAGATACTTGAGATTACGATATTGATTTGTCAGTCTTTTCTTGACAACATATTGGATCCATCCATCTCCTACATATGATAGGAACAAAAATTATCTGCAAAAAACTTCATTGCTCTTAGAAATCCTATGAAAATAACTTTATCCAATAAAAATGAATGCAACTTATTTTTATGAGATCTCGTCAAATCTCATTGTTTGTTCACATTGTTTGGGAATATCTTAAAAAGAGATTCCTGGCCATTTCAACATAATTCAAATACTCACAAAAGCATAATAAAACTTTATCAATCTTTCGAAAGCATTTACGAACTATAATATAAGTTTGTAAATTGTTAGATATGGAAGCACGAGCCTAATGTTGCTCCAGAGACTTTAATTTTAATAATAATCGCGTTAGTAGGTATCGTTTTAGAATTTCTCATCAATTACATATGTAAATCTTAAGACTTTAGCGAAGTAATAAAGCCATAATAAAAATGACTGTTGCATGATCTGTGAGATATTCCAAATGCATAAATCTTACACGGTAGATTAAAAATTAAAAGACTTTGAGGCCCATTATTATGCATGGGACAGTACTAAGCAATAACGGTCTTCGATCCGATCCTTCGTTTCTTAAACGATTCTTCGATCCAGTGGCACACTTTTATACTCCTAGTGACATCGCTGCACAATTGGTCTTCTTAATTCGGAATTCGAAAACAAGAACTTTCAGACATTATACCTCTTTCACCATTTAAATTCCAAAATTGCATTTTCGGCTCACACAATCACGTTTTATCTGGCGCATTTATGCATAGACTTATAACAACTTTCCTATGCTTTCACTGGCGAGCAACATATTTTCCATCATGAAGTCTATTATTCTCATTTTTTTCTTAACAATGATGGCGAATCTAACAGTGATATAAGGGAAAGGTAAAAAAAAAAAAACAACAAAAAAAAATAAAAAAAAAAAATCGAGCTGTTGAAAGAGTCGAATAACCGGTAGATTTTGTGAGATTCATATCGCCTAGTGGAATTCGTTGACAATGTTGAGCATTTATCTCTATTTAAGATCCTGTTTCTCCATCGTCACAAGATCTTCGTGATTTCGTTAGAACTTTTGGCGCATTTGACTAGACATTCCTGTTTTTCATATATAGAAGAAAATGTGACTTTCTTTACGAGAGCCTCAGATTTATGTCTATCCTTTAGTAAACTGTTTTTAGCGCGATATTATTGCTTGTCGATTGTCAAATATTGCTTTTCAGTTAAGAGTGATTTATCTCTTAAATTAATTTTAAATGAAAAAGTTTACTAATAAGACATTTATCATCGACGATATACATAATTTTATTTTCTATTGTAACATTGTGTATTATTTGAAATAATTGGCAGTAACGTATTATGCCACTTGTTGTTGAACGACGAAAGCGACTAAGTAAACAATTTAATCATTAATTTTCGAATTCGAATTCGTGAGAGTGTGTATGCGATATGCTTAAGTAAAAATAATGCAAATATAATAGGATAATTTGATAAACTGATGCAGATGTGGCAGTTCTCTAATTATATGAAAATCCAATACGTTTGATTCGTTTCCAAGCAACCAAACAGAATTATTGGGCAAGTTCGTTGTGCAGTGTTTGGTGAACATTAAACTTGCGGCTATAATCGACGACAATGACAATTATTACAAAGTAAAATCATTTTTGACTCGATTGTATAATAAATTTCATCAATATGGCTTATTAAATTCAATTATCTTTGCCGTATAGGTGGATTAAAACAGGAAATGCGCACGATTTTGTGTTTTTGGGAAATGAAGTAATCGCCACTGCATCCGGAAATCATGTGATATTTTATAATTTGATAACAAAAGAAGAAAAAATCGAATATTTTAATAGTCCGACGAGGGGCGAAGGTGTTTGCTGTCTGGCTGGACATTCGGTAAATTGCGCAGTGCTTAAATATTTTTATGAGAGAACAAGAAAATGTAATCCCCAAAAATTGAGCACAATTGAAATACCAAATTGGATAGAATTTTTATTTTTAAAATTCGTGTATTTATTGTATATCGTGAAAGATCATAATTGTAATTATTATTTGTTGAAATTTCCAAAAATGCATGATGGTATTATCAAGTATACATATATATATATATATATAATAAATTATTTTTCACATTTATTATAATTAACTCACATATTAAAAAAACAAATTATGCATATATATATATATGTTTTTACGCGCGCGCGCGCGCGAGTGTATTCCCATTTAAATGCATTGTAATGTGCAAGTTAATTATCAATGAAAACGAGACGAGATAAAATAAATAGAAAAGTGTTTAAGCTGAAATATCTTTCCAGGTCATTCCGATATTTTCTACGGTTGAACGATGTTATCATCCAAAAATCTATATTCACGCGTATCCACGAATTGAAAAAATTGCTGAATGCAGACTAGATAATCAGCCAAACTCATATATATCCTGTTGCTTTCTTGGAGCTGAATATCTCATAAGTCTAACATCGCATCCAGATTTCCATCTTATCTTATGGTTTTGGAAGACTGGAGAGAAAGTAGCGAGTATTGACACGCCGTTTATCGACAATTTTCAATCAATTGAGTGGGTTATGCTTTCGTTTTTTTTATTATCTTTTTTTTTTTTCTTTTTTTTTTATACAATTTTTATACAGCGAAATGTGTATGTAAATACGATGAGCTAAATTATTTAATTATTTAAAACATACTATTGAACATATTGAATTATTATAAATTTGAGCAGCAATTAAATTACGAAACAAAATATTAATTATTAAGGTGTAATTATTATAATTTCCAGAGCATCACTGAAGCCATCGAATTTAATATATCAATTTTCTCCCACATTGGGCGAATTATTAACATATGACATTCATACATATTTCAAAAAGGCTACTGTAATTAAGAATTCGATAAAGTTAACTAGTGACAAAATTGTATGCGTATGCTGGGCAAATAATGGTAATTTGTTATTGTGCGACGCGCTTCAGAATGCATTTATTGCGAGTAGCGATGGTAAGAAGATGCAAATGATCGTATGTAAGGATCGGAACATTAATCTAGAAGATCGAATTTTTATTCTCTCTATTAAAGATGCATTTGTTACGTTGGACAATGATTTGCAGTTAAACGTATGTGTAATTATGAATTCTTTTAATTTAACGATAGATTAAATGTTATATATATATATATATATATATATATATATATATATATATATAGAATTAGAGTTGATTGAATGTTCAAATTTTAATAATTGATTAGATATTTTAAATTGCATAAATATAATACCTACCTATAGGCGAATATATTTCTCACTCGTGCATTTAATTTAAGATTTAATTTAAGATTTGTAAGCACTTTATTTCGATGAAATTGAAATTCATACTATTTGATATTGAGCTTTTCAATAATTCTATTAAAATGGTATTTCTCATCTTTTTTTTTTTTTACTATAAATAACATTAATGTTAACAGAACCTTGATTTATTTAATCTTATTTCATTCATATATTGTTTATGTTTTTTTTTTTTTTTTTTGGAAATATTTAATTTTTAATTTTCGTATTTAATTTTTAATTGAATTCCTCGTTTGTTTATAATATTCAACTTGACAAAAGTTTATATGCTTGATAAATGTATATACGTACATATACATATTAGGTACGTGGCATATAAAAAACATACAATTTATTTTCTAGTGCTACCATAAATCTCACGAAGACAATAATTTAGGAGAGACTTGGAATACCGTGTGGTTTATGAAACTTACATGCCAAATTCTGAAAATGACACTAACACGTCATAAAGAAGCAATTTTACTTTATAGCGAAAGCGGAAAAGTATTTGAATTATCTTTAACGAATGAATATAAATCAGAGTTGAAAGAAGTATTTAGTAATTGTCCAAAAATTAAGTTTCTACGCATATTAAACCCAGAAAAAACATATGGCATTATCGTCGATGGTTTTAATTGCTTAATGCTTGTTAATTTATATAATGGAAATATTACTGCAAATTTTCAAATCGATAAAGACGATGAGGGTAATAAAAATAATGCACATATATTTTAATTTACTATAAGAGTAATTTTAATTGAATTGTAAAATTTATTGCATTTTTAGTAGTTTACTTGGACACGCATCCGTACATGCCATTTTTGTCTATTATTACATCGTCTGGTAAATGTATTTGTTTTATCGTATCAATAGAGTACTTTAAAGTTCTTAAATTAATACATTTGCAGCGTGATTCTTTAAATACGATTAAATTTTCGATAAATGGTAATTTATTAGGTATAGCGTCTGAGAAACCATGTATTATGTATTTGTTAAAAACAGTTGTAAAAAAAGATATAAAGGTAATTCTCCATATAAATGTGGAAAATTTGATTGTTGATTTTTTAATTTTTGACCACGGCAAACAAATGCAGATTTTAATTCTTTTTAAAACATGTTCGTATGCTTCTATTGGTAATTTTATTGAAATATATTCAGTAAATAGATCTGATAATTTAATTTATAAGAATCATAAAATTTATAGTAATAGTTTTTATAAGAATTTAAGTTATGGTTTAGGAAAGGCTGATGACTTTTTAGGTGTGCCATATCTTTCTAAACATCTACATTTTTTAAAAATCGAGGTACTATCTGTAACTAGTTAAATCATATAATAAACAGGATAAGGCATAATTATAAAAAATGTTTTCTTTTCATTCTTTCTTTTTTTTTCTTTTTTTCTTCTTCTTTAGAATAATTACAAATCAATAATTTTAGTTAATATTATAAATGTGGGACATAAACTTAGAAAATTTGATTTGAATATTTCACAAAAACGTATTCTCACAAGTGGATTCGATGGCTTTATTATTTTAAGAGAAACTTCAAACTTATCAAAACCTAACATGAATTTTATGGTGCATCATTATCAAGAGTATGGTACAAAATATTCAATATCCGCAATTAACGATAAAATGATTGTCTGCTTAGGTAGAAATGGTAATCTTGTTGGACTTCAAATTTGGTAAATTTACACTTGTAATTGTTTTCATAAAAGATAATATTGAACACGTAATGTTGAAAATTAATTAACTAAAAATTAACTAATTAACTAAAAAAAAAAAAAAAAAGCGAATTGGAAGAAAATATTGTAGCAGAAAAAATGGAAGAATTACAATGGGAATGTAAAGAGAACGGCAAGTTTTCTCTTTGCAATGATCAAACATGGTTAGAACAAAAGAAAGCAGACGACATCCAAGCTGAAGAAAATAAATCAACAGCTTTGAAAAAGGATATTCTAACCGACATAAAAATATTGAAATCTAAGGTTATTCCAAATTGTATTAATTCCCAATATTATTATTTATTAGATTTATCTACGTCAATAAACTATTATAATTATTAATAATTGCGTCAAATGTATATTTTTAGATCAAAGAATTATTAAACTTAAATGAGAATAAGGACTCTGAATTTCAATTGCCAGTCTCGATATTTGATTTTAATAGTATTAAGAGAAAGGAAAAAATCAGCGTTGCTTTACACAAACAACGGGAACAGATTAATCTGAGATTAAAACAAGAAATTAGTCAAATCGAAAGTGTTATTAACTATTTAATGAAAAATTTTTGGAATACGTTTCAGGTGCCTCATTGCATTCTTCTTTCTTTCAATGGCAATACGATTGTCAATAATTTTTCATTACGTCACTTAAATGAATCTGAAAAAATTGATGATCATTTTATCGAAGTTTTTGATACCCCATTATCAAATATATATGCTGAGCATACTGATAATAAAGAAATTGTGTCACGTCTTAAATTACTTACGGCAGTTACTGCCTTTGGTTCCCGTTCTTATACGCTTGATGATAAATGTTTCTTAGAACATAGCGATGCTATTATGCTTTCTGGATCAAGTAGTTTCAAATGGTTAAACGATAATACTCCAATCAGTCAGTTAATGAATTTAAATTGTAATCCAAGAAATTATGATATAGCTACTTCTAAGGAATATAAGTTAAAGGTAAACGCGAATTAGCCTAACTTAGATTAATTTAAACATAAAAGTCGTTATGTATCATATAAATATAATACAATTGTTCATTCATATTTTACTAATTTTTAAAGATGATATTTAATGAAAAATTTTACCAAATTAAAAAGCTGAAACATCAAGTATTGAAAGAAACTTCCGAGCGATTGATGAAATTAGATGAATTGAATGGTCGGTTAAAAAATTTATTCGGAACAGTGGAAAAAGATGCTAATAAGTTCAATAATATAAAATGGCACTCGATGGAAGTTCTGGAAGAAATAATGAATGATGATAAAGATGCTTCGCCCGATATGATAAATAATTGTTTAAGTAATCAAAATAAAGGTGTGATATATGATTATGCATTTCGTGAAGAGAAACTCGATGAAATGATGGATGGAGTTTTAGAGAAGAGGTAAAATTTAATAAAAATTAAAATACGTATGTCAAATAATATTTTCCAATTTAAATTTCACTTGTAAAATATCAGATGGGAGGATGAAATAGCGAAAGATATACAGAAGCCGTATTGCTTAACGTTTAAATCTCCGTCAAAATATAATGATGAAGATATTAAGGCTGTAGAAGCTTATCAACAAATGGTTGAAAATTTAGAAATCGAACGAGAGAAATACAAAGTTCACTTAGTATCTGAAATCAATAACATAAATGGTATATAATAATTATCATATGAATATTATTAATGTTATAAACCATATTAATACGTCTATCTATATATCTATATAACTAATATTTGCATTTAAGCTAAAATACGAGGCGACATCGATGATTTTGATAAAAGAATGCATGCTCTTGCTATAGAAAGAATAAAAATTCAATCGGCTGTATTGCAAGAATTTTTATTGCGATTAAACGAGGAAAGGTATCGAGCTTCAACTGAGCACGAAGAGAATAAAATGTCTTTACTTATAAATAAAGATTTAGTGCAATTGGAAGATAATTGTCAAATCATAATAGCCGAGATAGCGAATGTTAAGCCCATCATTTTGGAACTAAAAAGTAAATATGAAAATTTGCGCAAACGGGATAAGGTTTTGGAAGCTAAATTACCAAGTGAATTTATGGATTTGAAACAATCGATGCTGGAACATTTACTTCGACATTACAAAAGACGCCCAAATATTGATAAATTTAATTACATATCATTAACTTGTTTAACAGAAATGTGCCTCTGTTTAATAACTGATAGAAATTCCCAGATATTGCCCAAGGAGTATTTAGATTTTTTATGTAACATGGATGCAATGGACGCGATGCCAACAAATTTGCCATTTCAAATTGATAGTACACTTTGGCAAACATTTTGTACATTACGACGCAATAAAGTAGAATCGGAAATTAAGGTATTGTATCGATATTTTCTCTATAATCTACCCTTAATTGAAATATATTTGTATTTCGATGAAACTCTTGAATTACATAATAGCCATTGTGAAATTTAATTTCTTACATCATTACATTGAATGTCAGATAAAAATGGCTGCCCTAGAGTTAGCAAATGCCGAGCAAACGCATTCTTATTTGCAAAGGTTGAATTTATCGATTCAAAATAATATATGTACAATTAAAAGTACCATCGCAGAACAAAAGCAGAAACAATTAAAAATGACAGATAATTTCAATGTACAAATTGTTTTAAAATCTGAACAGATAGAAGTCGATTTGTCAGAATGTTTTAGTAATTTTAACAATGCTACTCTCGTCACGTATAAGCATCTCACGGAAATTAATGGCAATATTGTAAAAGAGGGAAAGAAAAATATTAATGTCATACGTGCACGAATGAGTTTGAGAAAATCTATACTTTTGCTGGAGTGGAAATATCAGTGTTCACTTACAAAAGTAAAGCACTTAAAAGAGCATTTAGCACTCGTGCAAAATACAAAAGTAAGTATTCTTTTTGTTTCGATTAATAACTTTAGATTGGCACAATGGAAGGTGAATCAATGGCGTCTAGAGGGTTGAGAAAAATATGAATTATGTGTGTTTCTTGCAGGTTAAAAAAGCTATGCAAAATTATTTAATGGAGAGGCTTGGGGGAAAAATTGTTAATAAATATTCAAGGACTCGTGATGTATTGTTAAATTCGATGGAAAAGGTAATGTCTCGTTACAAAATCATCCAAATGAGCTTATATAAATGACAAATTTAGAATTAAAATATGCTAAATTTTATAAATTATGACAAATGAGATTAGATTTTTCGCGAACATTTTTAATTAATTGCTTTCTAATATACATTTGTAGAAATTTCAAAGGATGTTAAAAGAGAAAGAAAGCACGTTTCAAAAGCTTATGATCGAGATCAATTATTGGCGCAAAATGAATGGACAATTAATAAAGGAAATTGACGAACTTTCGTCAAAAAAACTGGAACAAAATTTAACTGTAGACGGGAACGATTTACGAAAGAGAAATAGGATTTTTAAAAAAAATCATTTACGTTCTATTATGAAGAGAACAAGTCTTGTTGAATATATAACAGCGAGTCGTAATAAACTTTTTTACTTACAAAATCAATTGGAGTTAATAAAATGGAAAACTTATCCGGTGCTGTACTATACGAAAAAAGGCTTATTATAAGAAAAAGAAAAGGTATATAGTTGTAAGATGAAATATTGTTAAATTTATTTAAACAATAAAGGCATAGATGCTTTATGAAATAAAGAAATTTCCAGCGTTAAATATATTGTATCGAACTTTTATCGTAATGTAATATTATAAGAAAAATTTTCCCTCGTCATTTCATGCATAACAATGAAATAACCGCTTTATCATGATAGTTGCGCATGTGTTCAAAAGTGAAATAAAATTTTGAATATGCAGATGATGCTTGTTTAATTTCGATTAAAGACTTTAAATTAACCGTTAAAAAAAAAAACAAATCAAAAAAAAAACAAAACAAAAAAAAAAACAAAACAAAAAAAAAATTCGCAGTTCCTAAAAATATCTTTTGTTTACTTATGAAGAAATAGTAAAGATATCGTTATATTAAGTCTGAAACACGTTTGCACGCGACCGGAGTCGTAAATGCTTTGAAAACCAAGGAGAAAACAAGGAAGAGAGGAAGAAACCACGTAGTCGCTATGAAAAAGGTAAAATAGGGCTCATCAAAACCATAAATTTCATCGCTTTATCTTATGCGGTTTGAACTTTGTTAGCTCGAACGCAGAGTTTCTTTGAGCCTCATTTTTTTCCCTGTTTTTTCTTCTTCCTCTTCATCTTCTTCTCTTTTTCTTTTGTTCTTTTCCTTTTTTATTTATTTTTTTCTTTTTTCTTTCTTTTTTTTGTGCTGCATGCAGTTAAAAAGAAAGTGTGCACAAAGTTTTGGTAAAATTATAAAAATACTCGTGGTCAGCGATACACACACTCCATTCATTATACAATAAAAAATATCGAGAATTTATACGATGGGAGGAAGAACTTTGTGTTTGAAAATCAAGTGAAATAAAATGTTCTTTAGAATACGAGGTCGTATAATCAATTAGTTGGTACTGTCGTTATTGATTGTCGTGTCAAAAAATAAAAATTATTTGCTTAAAAAGCTGTAAAAATGTCTGGAATAATAAAGCAAAGGGCTGATTAGCCACAAGTCAATTGGTCTACAAGACGGCCTATGACACATTTTTAAATTAGACAAAGCAACAAGCAAGAAAGGATTGCGCATACGCGTTTTGCAAATGTCTGCTTCGTGCTGGATTCGACAATAATTTCACATTGATATGCCGTACTAACCGAATTTGAGCAAATACATAAAAGCTCGAGGAGTCATTACTAATCGCCGTAATATCGCAGACATCTGGTAATGGCACACATTAGTTATCAGGCGTTAGAGACTCTCGGAATGGCAGTTTCGCGGTGAGGACGAGCGCGGAGATTATGGGAAGAGAGAAGCCTGAGACGCCCAAGTCGATCCTTTCGCCTTCGTGAGTCGACGAGGCGAAAGCGAGCGCGCGAGCGAAAGAGCGAGAGAATCGATGGCGGATAAAAAGCCGGAGGAGCAGCATCGGGCGGATGGGCTAGCAAAGGAGACGATCCCCTCCATTTTCGGTCCGGCAAAGGAAAACAGCACTCCTATATAAGGTTGTTGGATGAATATTCCGAGCCAGGCCATCCTGGCACACTCTCGATCTTGAATTTGCCGAGCTCGGCTTAATTCGCGCGCCTTGCACACATTGTCGAACCCGCGGCTGACACCGAGATTTCCTTGCGTCTCTCTTCGACTGATCGCCCGCCCGTAGCCCCACGACCATGGCGATTAAGTGGATATTCTTGAAAGTATTGCTGATAATTGGGGCGGTACTGGCGACTTACGCCAGGAGCGAGAAGAAAGTAATTTGTGAGTAATGTAACTATTACCGACCTGTCCTTTATTGGCGAGATTTATTATCGGATGCAGTAGATTGAAGTAGTTTTATCTTGTGGCGAGGGGTGGGGGATGAAGGGCGGGGATTATTGGTGGAGGGATGGGGGAGAGGTCGAGGGTAAGACGAAAGTCAGGAACTTGGGAGTGTGTCGTTTGTTAAAAGAAATTGATTTTGGCTTGACTGTGCATCGATCATTGACGAGGCCTTCCTCGATGAAACTTACTCAAATATTATTTATACATTAATTTATTATGAATTTCAGGTAGAGTATATTTTATTTTTTATCATTGGAACCCCCCTTAGGGGCAATAATTTAATATACTGATTTATTATAAGAATTAATAAATCAGGTGTACTGTTAGCTCGTAAAAGTAACGGGGATAATAACTACGCTTTAATAAGATAATTTATTTGCTATTTCGACTTTACAGTTTGATTAAATTTTTATATGAGAGTCACAAACGACGATATTACATGGAATACATTGTTTTAATAAGCTATTGATTTTTTGAATTACTGATAACAGCTTATAACGTGCAGGATAGTTTAGTGTTTATTGTGTCGATAGAAAGTTCAGCTCAAAAATATTATCCCTTTTCGTCAATTTACGAACGTTGAACGACTAACGCAACTAAATGATATAGTATAGGCGTCGACATATTCGATATAAATAATAGGATAATAGATATTTGGTAAAACTAAAATTATTATTTAAACGAATGGTTGGATGTGCCGTATTTGTTTCGTTAAAATAGATATTGATACTTAGTAAGTTAAAGCAGCCTTTTGTATTACGACAATCCTTGCCACGAGATAATCAGACTTTAACGCAAGTATTTTTAAAATAAATAAGTGTCTAGATAGTAGAGTAGCGTTTTAGTGATTATCGCGCTCAGACACGCAGACAAATACACAAACAAACACGAACGGGCACACACGCACAGAGAGAGAGAGAGAGAGAGAGAGAGAGAGAGAGAGAGAGAGAGAGAGACAGACACAAATACAGAGACATAGGCAGAGAGTCAGAGGGGCGGTAAGATTGCTCGATCAACTTTCTTTCCTGAATTGCGTAACATGAGGAATGTGCCGGGTGCTTATTTCTTCCTCCATTTACCAGTCACGATGTGCGTACCCGAGATTTATTGGGACGACTGCATACAAATGAAGGTGGACTCGTCGAAGAAAGGGATACCGATTTCCTGTATTTCCGGGCGCGACCGCTACGAGTGCATCGACAAAGTCGGTCGCAAGGAGGCGGACATCGTGGCCGTCGATCCCGAGGACATGTATCTCGCAGCGAAGCACGAGCTCGCCTCCCGAGCCCAATACAACATCGTCGAGCAGGTAATTAGATGATGGGGAATGGGTCTTCGGTGCACCTTCGTCGTCTCGCGTAGCCGGCTCCGAGCCTCCCACAACAATTATGCCCATAGAATATAAAGAGTACGGTACGCCGGCTGAATTTATACGCGGCTTTTTAATACTCGAAACGAGCATTAGAGCTGTGTTCTCCAACGAAATCTGACGATTGTTCCATTATAATGAAAATGTTGTTCACTGGACGGAATATTTCCTCGAATTATGCCGAGTTGCAAGTTTTAACTGGCACTTCTTTAGTCGCGCGCTCGCTCATTAGGCAAGATAATAATCATTAAACAAAATTATAATCGGCATCAATCAAATACATAACGTAAAATTATTGTAGTTATTATTATTATTATTATTATTATTATTATTATTATTATTATTGTTGTTGTTGTTGTTGTTGTTGTTGTTGTTGTTGTTGTTGCTGTTGTCGTTGCTGTTGTCGTTGCTGTTTATTATTATTGTTGTTTATTATTTTAGTTAAAAATGTAATTAAAGCTGCTTAACTGTTATTACTGTCGGAGCGGGTTAATAACGCCGAAGCATGTGCTTTAGCAAACATAATTAGCCTGTTTTATTATGATGAAAAGAGGGTCGGACAATTATTAATCTACTTAAATTATTCAACATTTCGTTAAAATA